TTTGGCCCGCCGAATCAGTGTCAACCCAACAAGGACTCATCGAAACCCTGTCACGTGACGAGGATTCGTCGAATCAGTGTCAACTTGGATCCCTGCCATCTTGGCGTGGATTCGACGAATCCGTGCTGAAACCGGCGCTTACTCGAAGGTTTCAGCGCTTGCTCGAGTGGATCAGCGCTGATCCGACACAAAAACCCTACTTTTCCTTGTCAAACCAGCGCTGATTCGCGAATCAGTGCTGAAACCAGCGCTTAACGCTGTGGACGATTGTTCTGAGTTATTTATCGAGGCTACCTCTGGCACGAAGGTTTGGGCGACATTGTTGCCATGGCTAGTTTCTGGTTAGCCACAGAAAGGCCTGAAGGGCGTGCTTTTCCTGACCTGAAAGGAAGATGTCTGGATCTCAAGGCGGCGTACAAGCAGCTGGCGCGAGACCCTGCGCATGGCTGGGCCTCAGTTATTGCGGTATGGTCACCTTCTTTGGGGAAGCCCTGCTTCTATGAGTCGGTGGCTTTGCCTTTTGGCGCGGTTAGCGCGGTGATTTCTTTTGACCAGGTGGCAAGGGCCCGTCGTGATTTTCTTCGATGACTGCTCAGTTCATGCTCACAATTGCATGGCGGTCTCGGAGTTGGCCATGGAGCTTCTGGGTTGGAAAATCGCCTTGGCAGAAACGAAGCGGCTTAGAAGAAGTTCCAGATTCTTGGGGCGGTTATGTTGTTGAAAACAGTGAGTCGGGTATCATAACTGTCGGAATCAAGCCTGACAGGGTTCCGGGGATGATATCGCAGAGGGCCGCCTGACTGATGCCATTTTGGTGTCGCTGAAAGGAAAGCTCTTGCGTACCGCAAGCCACACTTTTGGCAAAGCTACAGCTTGCGGCGCAGCTCCTTGGGAGGAAGATTTCGCATTCCCAGCTTTGCCGAGCTGACACTTTGGTGGCAGTAAGGAGGCTTGTCACCATTCTTGAATGCGAAACCTAGCATCATTCTAGAGCTCCCATTGTCGTCTTCACTGACGGCGCGTGTGAGGCCGAAGGCCGGCTGGTGAGCCGTCCTCTGCACCAGCAGTTTGGGCGACGGGAGTTTTTCGGCGGCCATATCTGGTCTTGGTTTCGTCCTGGTCTCGGTCTGGGTCGCGTCAGCAGATTGAGCAAGCCGACCTGCATCCTGTGATTCTGGCAACGGCCACCTGGTTTATCTACTTGGCCAGCAAGGAAGGTCATTGAGTCATCTGCTTCAGTGACGCTGCCTTTGTCAGGTCTTTCTCTCCTGTATTGAGCAGTGTCACTTCTATGTGGCGCATGAGATTTGGAACTGGTATGCCAGGGTTCCTTCCAAGAGTAAACTGGCCGACTCAGCATCGCGGCGCAACAAAAACAGGTGCGCAGGCCGAGTGGCATGACGTGCGCTTGTTTGGTGAAGGTCATCTCTTGCACGCGCATGCAATTTTCTCTGCTGCCTCAATCTCGGTTTGGAAAACCGAGGCCGCCGTTTGTCGAGTGCAACAAAAAGGGCCCTTTTTCGGGTTTTTGGGGGTGCCCCCTTTGGTGGTTTGTGTTTGGCCTTGGAAACCCTTTTAGGGGTCTGGGGTCAGCCCACCTTCTGTCTTTTATGCTGGGGGCGCCGGGCGCGTGATGCTCGGCTATTGCCGTCGTGTTTCCTCACAAGGGCAACGGGAAAAAGTTTGCCCTCACTTTAGTGATTGTGCTTTATCCTTGCGACCTTGTGTTTTGTTTTGAGTTTTGGCGAAGGCGGCCGAAACTCTTTTGAGCGCCGCGGTGCCGATACTACGGCGCCCAGCCAGCAAAGTAGTTTGAGTTGCCTAAACAGAACCAATGCTTGTGGCTTTTGCGTGACAAGTTTGCCGAAAGTTGCGCCAAAAATGCTTGCTCAATCATGCTCCACCATGCCCACCTCGTTGCAGCATGACATGTGACATCTTTTCCAGTGGCATGATGTGGATTTGTTTGGTCAAGGTCATCATGCAATTTTGGTTGCTGCTTCGGTTTGACACGACCCGCGTCTTGATTTGGAAAAACCAGGCCGCCGTTTGTCGAGTGAGTTCCTCCGACCAAAAGGCCTTTTTTGGGTTTTGGGTGCCTCTTTGGTGGTTTGTGTTTGCCCTTAGAAACCTTTTAGGGCCTGGGGTCAACCCACCTTCTCTGTCTTTTATGTTTGGGGCGCTGGGCGCGTATCTCCCTGCCTATGTATCTATCTATTGTAGATCTACGTCCTTCTCTCTTTCTCTCTTTCTCTCTTTCTCTCTTTCTCTCTTTCTCTCTTTCTCTCTTTCTCTCTTTCTCTCTTTCTCTCTCTCTCTCTCTCTTTGTCTCTGACGATCTGTCTATCTATCTATCTATCTGTCATTCTAATTGTTTTTCTATTTCTCTACTTCTGCCCCTCCTATCTATCTATTCGTCTATCTAGTTGGCAATCTTTCTTTCTGTACATTTATCTATTTATCTAGCTATCCAGTATATGTCTCTCTACATTCTATCTACCCATGTCTCTATCTACCTCGCTCTCTCTCTCTTTCTCTCTACCTGTCTATATTTGCGTTTATTCTGAGGGCAGGGTTTCCGGTTTCAGGGCCGACGGGAAGGGACACACACTGTGGGTTTTCAAGGCTGATATGGCCGATGATGGTGTTCAGTGCAATGGCGAGCAGTTTGAGACATCAACACCACGACGGCTGACAAATCATGGGTTCCTGGCAACCACTTTCGTGAAGGGGGCCTGGCAACATTATTGCTGAGCAGCATGTCAACCCCAGCGTTGTTCCTGCTGATGAACTGCTGTATCTCAGCATGGCTAAGGATTTTTTAGTGCTTAAACGCATGTCGGATGCGTGGAAAAATCACAGATAACAGACGGCTTCTCTGCCTCAGATAGCTATCTATTTGTCACTCCCCTTGTCCCGTGCCTCCCCCCAGCTGTGCAGAGGATGAGAAGTCAAAAGCCCGTGAGTTCACAAAGTGTCACTTGGTGACCAAAAAACATGCACATGCCGCTGTACTTGCATTCAAAAATACAAAACTCTGGATTGTTGCTAGAGGCAGCTGTGCCCCAAGCGACAGCTCAGCAAAGCAAATGATGATATAAAAGAGAAAATCCATTTGTACTCACAACTCCTTGTCGAACTCTTCTAAGCTTTTCGCGATCTTGCAGGGTTCGCCATCTCTCAAAGCGTTGCCGCTGGCCTTCATGCAGTTCTGACTCTGTCATTGCAGCGTAGCAGCTGTGGGTTTCCACAAAGTGCCACAAAGCGTATATGCCAGTCTCTCGCTGTCCTTGTAGCCTGGCTGCAAACCTCGTATGGTATCGTCAAGCTGTGGCATCATTGGCCAAACCCGGTCCCCCGCAAGGGCCTGAGATGCTCCAAAAAGTGTAAGGCCCGTCTTGGTTGCCTTGTGGGAATAACCTCGGCACGTCTTTGCGAAACACGTATTGCGTTGCCAAAGTAGTATTTGCATCCCAGTAGCAAGGGCGCGTAGTCCCAGGAGTTTTTTGGGATCACAACCGGGAGCCCCATTCCGCTGCTCTATCTATGTATTCAATGTTTTCCATCCATCCACCCATCCATCCATCCATCTATCTATTTGTCTATCTATCTATCTATCTATCTCTGCCTTTGTCAAACTACTTTCAATCCATCTAGCTATCTATGAAATTAACTATCTATGTATCTGTCTGCCTCTCTATCGCTCTATCTGCACCTAACCTTGCGAAAGTGCTGCGCACCTTGTGCAAGTGCCGCGCCTGCCACGAAATCTACACCTGACATTGCGAAAGTGCTGCGCCTGCCAAGAGATCTGTACCCGGCCTTGCGAAAGTGCTACGCCTGCAACGAAATCTGCACCTGACCTTCAGAAAAGAGCTTGCGTGCCAAAGGTGGGGATTACTTGAAGTAAAGCATGTACGTCCTCCGCCCTTGGAAAGTTGCAAGCGAAGCACTGTTGCAAAAAGGGTACGCAAGGAAATCGGTAGCTACAGTTTGTGCAGAGTTCGTGTCAGGTGCGTCGCAAACACATTTTGCAAGGGATAAAGGGCAGGTTCAGTCAGAATTCGTGGCAGGCGCAGCACTGTCGCAACGTCAGGCACAGATTTCGTGGCAGGCGCAGCGCTTTCGCAATATTTCGTGGCAAGCGCATCGTTTTCGCGTCGCTTTCAACTTTTTTGCAAGGTCGGGTACGGTTCTCGTGGCAGGCGCAGCGCTGTCGCAAGGTTAGGGCGCACATTTTCGTGGCAGGTAAAGCGCTTTCGAAAGGTGGTTTCGCGGCAGGCACAGAGTTTTTGCCAGGCCAGGTGTGTTTTTTCGGGGCGGTGGTGGTGGTGGTGGTGGTGTGGGGTGTCGCTTGGGCTGGGCGAAGAAGACGGATGACAAAAAGCTGGCAACATCGCCGCGCCCAGAATGTTTTCAGAGCAAACCGCATTTTGTGTTAGATACCCCTTTTCATTGCGGGAGGGGGAGTAGTCTTTGGAAAAGCTTTACTGTTTGGGACTCATCGGGCACCGACATGAAGAGGGTGATTTTGTTCCATTGGACCCGGTAAGCGCTGAGGTGCACCTGGGCAGATTTGTAAAATGTAGGCACCCTGATTCGAGGGAAGCTCCGTGTGGGGGACCTTTTGTACGCAGAGTTCTCAGGCCAGGCCAGTTCTTTCCGTCAACTTTTCTCAAACGCTCAATGGTGCTGACAGGTTTAGTGGGTCAAGGCATGTTTGATGAGCCGGGGTTTGTTCCATGAGTTGCTGAAGATGCGGGCCGGTTCGTTCATTCCAGGCCACATTTCCCAGAGGATGTCGAGCTCCAATGACCCTCATGTCATGTCCTCAATATGTCACGCCCTTGGAGTAGTGATGTCTCATTCTGCCAGTTCAGGCAGGCTTTTCTCCTTCCATTTTCGAAGGACCGGGAGGTGGAATCAAACCACGTGGGCGTGGTCCAAAAGTTTGAATGGGTCGCGCGCCTTGGCGGACATGCCCAGCTTGCAATTTGCAGGCCCAGTCAGTGGCAACCTCCAGCACCGAAACGGGACCCACCTCCCTCACGGTGGAGACGGGCATGACAGGCAGAAGTCAGGAGCCAAGCTGTCGGACGGAAGACAGGTTGCCATCATGGCATGATGAGGGTTAGCCTCTGAAATCAAAGGGCCCAACAAGTCGCCTGGTGGCAGGCGTGAAGTCTCACTCACCCGCTGGCCCATTCCAAGGCATAGGTCCCCCAACAGGGGCGCCGGTGGTTCACAGCTTGGCCTTCCACCCGCGCACGCATCCTGCTTTGCGCGGCTCGGATGCAATTGCCAGGCCCAGTATCAAACAAACCCCCGCTTTGTTTGGTAGGTTGCCCCATTTTCGGAGAGACTCCCGTTTGAGGGTCCTTAATTCTTTTCATTGGCGAGGCTGGCCATGCCACTGCTCATTGCCAGGCTGGGCCTTGCCGATGCTCATGGTGGCGACCATGCTGATGCATCTTGGTCGGCATAGTGCCCCAAGACAGAAACATAGATGGAGCGAGCCATTTCAGGACCTTAGCGGCTTTGCCGGCAAGGTCAATGTTCCTTTTAAGGGAAGCCCCTGTCACGTTCCATGTTTGCATGGCATAGACTAGAACAGAGATGGTTGCGGCCCGTATCCGCCCACGAGCGCTGAATTTGAGCCCAGGTTCTTATCCAGCAACTCCAGCGTGGCCGCCGTCGTCACGGTGCCAATCACTTTTAAACTGGCGCAAGCTTGAGGGAATTACTGTGCGGCTGGTACCATATTTCCTGCATCGCGAGGTCAACGGGTCTTAAGACCGGACGGTTTTGCCAAAGGACTGACTGCAAAAACTGACGGTTTGGAACTTGAAGGCCCTGAGTGGCGTGGGCTCTTAGCCTCCCCCAACTTTCCACTTGAAGCGGGCAGGTCTCGGTCAGTGCCAACGGCGAGTCCATGGTTCACTTGCCGCCGACCTTTGGCTTCTCGCTGATCGGAAGCATCAAGGATATGATCAAAGGTGTCTTGGCCTTTCTGCACGGTTCGCAGGCACCTAGACCCCTTTGTGGGCCGCGGTTTGCAGCAAGAGCAAAGCCTGACATGGCATCCTAAGGTGGGATTCATGCCAACGCACGTTGCTGTTGTGCACGTTTGGTTACCTAATGAGTTGCTTTGTTGATGCTGCCAATGCCGGAACATGCTTCATTGCCAGTTCGTTTGGTTGCTTGCTTGCTTGCTTGCTGGCTATCTGGCTGGCCTGTTAGATTGCTGCCGGCCAGCTTCGGGGACAATGCAGCCAGTGTTGGTTGCCTGAAGGCACGGCAGGTCGCAATGGAAGTCCTTTCCACTGATTGCACAGGCGGTGTTGTTTAGCTGTTGCTTAGCAGTTTTGCGTACATCCCAGTCCCGGCAAATTTGCATTGAGGTCGAAGCCACGAGTCCGTTTCAACGCAGTCCTTCCCACTTTGTGGGGTCGGACGGTCGCACCTTTTGCGGTTACGGCAAAGCCGAAAGCTCACGCGTGTCACCTCCCATCTGTGCACACGTGCCCAAACAGCTGCTCAGAGCCCGGCCCGCGATGCCAGCCGCAAACACAGAACACCAACAGCAAAATCGCGAGCATTTCCCAACCAGCTTGCCGGCAACCATTCACAGCTTCCGAGCAGACCAGCTGCAGGCCAGTTCCCGACGGGTTCAGAGCTCTGATGGTGTCCTGTGGGCCTCGCGCATTGTGAGGAAAGGTCTACGGCCTGGCGGTGCTGATCATTTGCTTTAGTGGAATTTGGCCTTATGTGAAGCCCATGTTGATGCCGCTTTGCTGGCACCAGGGGTCCGGGCCATTGGTTTCAGGCCACATTTGAGGGCCCACGCTTTGGACGCGCTTGGCAGGTGCAAGACAATGCAAGCTGATTCCAAGCGCCAGAAGTGGCCGTGTGCTGAGGATGCTGTGCTGGTTTGCGCCTCCATCCCAGCTCAGCGTTGCCAAGCGCCAGGGTTTGTTGAACTTCCTCGACGCATTTGGCAAGTGGTCATTGGTGGATACGCAGCTTGGCGCAGTCACAGCTTTCCTTGCCACGCGCCATGCAACGCAAAGTGTGCCGCGGTGGAAAGTTGTTTAATTGCCACGAAAGCACTTTGGATACTCTTTGGCTTGGACATAGGAATTGCGACTGGGACTGACTGATGCCTTCGGTGATCAAAGTTTACGGCCCTTGGCTCAAGGCTGGCGTGACAAGCTCTCATTTCACTTTGCCCTCAGGTGCAAAGGGTCAGCTGAATGTGTGACTGGTGGGGGAGGGGATTTATGGACAGCCCACGAGCATGGCCGACCTTATGCAGTGAGGAGTGGGGGCCTTGAAAGCCAAAACCCGCCTGCTCAGGTTTGTGATGGTGATGTTCATGGTGGCCTTCAAGTTTGACCTTAGCGTTGCTCAGCAGAGCACAAAGGTCATTTTTAGCATGTCTCGGAAAGACCCGAGCAAACCTTTGGTTGCCCAAGATTTGGTAGGCACCCTGGTTTTCGGCTTGTTCTGTTCAGGTCATCTCAGGGCTCGTTGAAAGTAAGATGATGTTGCCACATGGGCACGAATGGCGCTGCTGCAGCCAGAGCAAGCCGCATGAGGTCCGGGAAGAAATGGTCTCATTTTCGTCTCAGCCACCAGGTAAATAGTTGGCGGCCTTAATTTCAAGGCAGGGGCGACGCTCCCACGAGCACCTTTGCATCCAAGGCACCCACGAAGGGATCGAACCTTCTATCAGACATTTTGAAGGAGTCGGGCGATGAAGCGAGGATCCAGGTGCAGGTGGAAGCCCTGCTCGGATTTTAGAATCTTGGCATCTCTAATGGCAAACACAACGTTCAGTCATCCTTTAAGTAAGGTGGGTTCCCTGCTCCTCCTGTGCACGCCTCCCTTCACTGAGCCAGGCACGTGACTTTGTCAGGGCAACCCAACCCTTTGCTGGAGAAAGTTGAGCCGCCCGTTGAAACACGCAACAGCCACAAACTCTCATGCATGAATTAAGAGCAAGAGGATAACAGGAGCAGTGTGTGTAGTTATAATGCTGTCTTTTATAGTGTTCCTTGAGTCTCGCCACAGTGGTTTGCCTTCTGTTTGGGGGTCTTCCGTAGTAAAGCTTGTGCCAGCTTCCCGTAGTCTTTTTTCTTTTCCACTTTTGGTTCGCAGTCCACTTCGCATAGTCTGCCCAAAGTATCTCTGTTTCTGTAGCTTGTGTTCATGGATCCATTTGGACCGACAAATGAACAGACACGGCACGCAGAAAGGCGTACTGTATTCTGTTCGGATAAGCCTCAGAAGTTAGGATTTCTCTCTCTGTCCAAGTGGCGTGATCAGAGCGAGGCGTCGCAGAGAGCCACGCAAAGCTCAAGTTTCTTGACAGACGAACAAACGAACCCCAGCGCGAGCCGGTAAAGGGTATCGTACTCTTATCAGGGAGCCATCGAAGCATTTGGAAAGCCTTGCTGCGAAACAAGTCATGCCAAGCTGAAAAGGCACAACGTATAGTAACTAATACGGCACAAACACTGTGACGGACAGAGACACACCGTATACATCTGTGATGAACAAAAAAAGCCGTATACGCGACACGCCGATATAGTACTGCTCAGGCCCGGTCATGTTGAAGCAGACCCAGTGAAAGCATCTCACCAACTGTTGATTCGGACAAAATCCGATCCACCCATCGAAATATGCTCTTCTCCTTTGTCTTTCTGAAACAGCTTGTTTTTTTTCCTCGGCGGGCGCTTCATGAGTCAGTCCAGCCCTGTCAACGTGCGCATTGCGCTGTTGAAGCTCGGCAACTCAAATGCTTCTATTAAAGTGCTGCGTACGTACATCCCAAAGATCGGCAGTGCCCCGCAGCGCACTGCTTAGCAGAAGCACATTTCAGTAAGCTACAAAGCAGAGGTTGCAACCTCAAAGCCGCCTGGTACCAGCTACTGTACCGACTGCAACAGTGAGAAAAGACTACTCCCCTGCACAATGCCAAAGCAGGAGGAGACGGTAATTCAGGTTACACTACATTTGTAAGAGTGGCCATGTCAAACAACAGCTACTCATTGGACCCGGCCCGTGCAGACTTTCGGCAGTACGTGTCCATCAGCTCACAACTGAATGTCGATCCAGCTCATTCCCAGATAACCAAATGAAACCAGTGCGCAGTACGCCAGCAAAAGGAAGCGCAAGCATGTAAAAACGAATAGCAGTTCCCCAGCGCACAGCCACTGAACCACAGTCCAGCTTGCAGGGAAATAGCATCCATCGCCATACCCAAACTATGAACCAAACAAAGACTCTGGAGTGAGCTCCCCCAGCGGCTCCGGAACCCTGACACCAATCCCCTTGTGCTTGGTGCCCCAATTTATCGTTACGATTGGTCAAGAGGACCTGGGACTTGGGGTCCACAGTGTGCTTGAGCCAAACTCTACCCCACGTCCGACCTACGCTAGAACTAGGCTTGAGCACTCGTGGCGCGTTGAGTAGCCGAACTGCAAACCAATCACCAGCTTGGACATCACTTCGTTTGCCGGATGCGGAAAGGGGATTCGTGTCCTTTGAAGCCAGTCTGGCCAACACACGCACTGGTTCAGTTTGGAATGAATCTGTCGGCGCTATGCGGTGTTTCCAAAAAGGGCACCACCATTTACCTGAGTGCTCGCTAAGTACATTCCTCATCGCCAGCTTCGTGTCTCTGATCTTGGGGCACATCACCACTGCCTGCCACCGCTATGCTCACAAGCTGGGCGAGTTTGGTATGGAAAACAATGCCACTTGGAGTTTGGTTTCACTACCCGGGGGGGATGCATCGATGGTTGCGCGAGTTGCTGAGTTCATTTTGTTTGGGGGATGTTGGATTTTGTGCCCCATTGTAGGTCCTGTCGCTGGGACCAACCTCATACATATATAACATATGTGGTACCCCCCCCCCCAGGGACCTACCTTTTGGAAGTGTTGTCTACCTTTTTTTTTGCTTTAGGGAAAGCAATGAAAAAGACGCATTTCCAAGGACATTCTGGAAGCCTCAGGCTCGATTTAAACCGATTGAAATCTAAATCGGGCCTGGATTCAAGATTCAAGAACCTAGCCCACACTTTTCCAGGGAAGCTTGAATCCAGGCACAAATTTAAGACGAGTTATATACACCGATTTAAACTTAAATTTGTTCAAATCGGTTTGAATCGAGACCCAAATTCTGCGCGGCTGTGCGTTGGTACGGTGTTGCGCAAGCATCCAAGTCCTGATTATTCATTCAATCTGTCTCAATGTGTTTGAATCTAGGCCCATATTCAAGATTGCAGGCCCAACTTTTCCAGGGGATCTTGAATCCAGGCTCGACTGAAATTTCAATCGGTTTCACTCGAGCCTGGACCCGGGTTTGCAGAGTAGACTTGTCTAGAGAGTATTGAGCCTTGAAGCTTAAATACAGGCTTGAGTTGTTTCCTTATCAAATTCTGTTACAGCTCTCATTGAATTTTAAAAATACACTGGGGAAGGCATTATGTTTAAGTTCTCAATTTCAAATATAATTCTCAGTAGGATTCTGAACAAGTATTTCCGTATTGTTCAATATCAAATGAGCATTTAGAGAGTGGCTGCTGGTGGAGATGTGATTTGAGTATGACAAACGATGGCAGCGCCAGGACTAGCGGGAAAACACAAGTTTGGGATCTCTAAATTCATTCCTTATGAGTTTTTCTTAAAAAAAAACAAAAAACAAATTCGACCCAACTTCTAATTGAAGTTAAATAGAGTTTAAAAAGCAAATACTCGTCAGAATTTGGATTTAAATCGGAACGTAAAATATTGGTTGTGTTATGTGAAAATAAATGGCCCCCAAGAGTTCCTTTCCAATAGAACACTGTACTTAAAATTCAAACACCATAAGAACTAGAGTTAAGTGATCTAGTCCTAGCTAGTCCTACTTGGGAGATCCTTGGTACTAGGCCTAGATTGCCCCAGCTTACTGGAACAAAAGTCCCGTGTAACATCTGGATTGAAACAGAATAGCCAGTATTTAAATTCCAGCTTAACATGTAAATTATGACTGATTGTATTCCCTTTAAAATTGCTACTGTTCAGCTAGCAGTTACATAGAACTTGATAATATAGCAAATAGAGTTCATAAGGAACTTCCTTTGTAATGTCCTTTATATGTTCTAATTTGTATTCGTTTTTGTTTGTATCTTTGTTTTTGTTTGTCTATGAATTTAGTTAGTATTGTATAGGTTAATTGTTATGAATTTATAAAATTGAATGCTCTTGTTTTTGTTATTGAAAGAAGTTGGATAATTTTGATGGAAATTGAAGGATCTTTCAAGTGAAAATCCTATAGGGTGATTTCCTTGTAAATGCAAAAAGAGAAAGGGAGACCACCTGAAAAATCTAAGTTGAAATAAACCTTCCAATAAAAAGTAGTTGTTGAGAATGCGATCCTAAATTGCTTTTCGAGCTTTCGCAGGTATTTACGGTGCGTTCTGCTTTTGGGGGCCCGGCCCGAATGAAAATGGAATTTCAGTCGGCTTGGACCTACCTCTGTCCTATTTCTAAGCTGAGATTTGGTCAAACAAGAGGGTCTGGCCTTGCACCCTTTAAACCGTTTATCCCCATTCTCAGAGGACAGGTCCCCCCAAAGGTCAGGGGCAAAGCGTGTACACCCTTTCTCACAGGAAAGACCCCCTCCACCCCTCCCCCCCCAAGATTCAGCGTCCCAAACATTGTTTAAACCGATTGAATCTCTTTCTTAAAGGAAAGCCCGCCAAGGGTTCTACCTGAGAGCAGGTTCAAACGGTTCTCATGGTAGCAGTTTCGGGGGTTGAAACGGTTCTGGGCCCAGACCTTTCCTCTGAGAGAAGGCTCAAGCAGTTCAATTGGAGAGTCTGTTTCCTTTGCAGAGTCAGATGGTGGCAGAACAGATGTGGGGGGGGACAACATATATATATATATATATATATATGGTACAGCGTTGCCAGCCCACCAATGGTCATGGGTCAGACAAGTACCCCCCCCTGTGGTTGTGGTCCTGTGGTTGGGTTGTGGTGGTTTAAGGTTGGTAGAATTGGTTTAGGGTATATTTAGGGTGTATTTTAGGGTTGGTTTAGGTTTAGAGGTGTACGGTTTAGGGTTTGGTTTAGGGTGTATTTAGGGTTGGTTTAGGGTTGGTTTAGGGTTGGCTTAGGTTTAGGGGTTTATTGTTTAGGGATTTGTTTAGGGTGTATTTGGGGTTAGTTTAGGGTTGGTTTAGGGTTAGTTTAGGGTTGGTTTAGGGTTGGTTTAGGGCTGGTTTATGTTGATTTAGGGTTGGTTTAGGTTTAGAGGTCTACGGTTTAGGGTTTGGTTCAGGGTGTATTTAGGGTTGGTTTAGGGTTAGTTTAGGGTTGGTTTATGGTTGGTTGCGGGTTGGCTTGTCCTGGGGTGGGGGTGCCGGGGTGTCGGGGTGCGAGTTCAGGGGGTCGGGGTGGGGGTGGGGCCGTAGGTGCCAGGATCCGGGGGCTCGGGGTCTCGTGCCGGGGGGGGGGTCCTGGGGGACCCGTACCATATGGGGGGGGGGGGGTAGCAACACGGAACACGGGACCACATACACACATATATATATATATATGTGTGTGTGCGTGTGTGTGTATGTCTTTATTGTACACATGTGTAGAGGTCCTGTAAACAGTGCGAAGCAGCCACAACGTTGCAAACTTGGACAATTCTATGTAGGCAAGCCTTGGAGACTGTGCTATAGGCCAAGGTGGAGCGTTGAAATGCACGGAGAGGCCGAATTCGGATTCCATTCCTACTCGTAGACCTTCTTTGTGTGTTTGCTGGGTTCTTGGTCGGTTGGTTATACCTGGCTCAGGTCCTCGAGAAACGGCGCTTGTGCTACGAGCTCTGCTCCAGACCATTGGACGTGCATGGACCAACCGCCGCCATCAGCGTGTCCCTCTTGCTTCCTTGGCTCCATTCGAATGTGACCCCCTAGCCCCTGCGGGCAGAAATAGGGAAGAACATGCGCCGCGCATTGAGGAGTGGATCAAACACACCCGATGATGCCATAGAGAGGAAAGTGGGCGACGCATTGGAAAATGCAGTACATGTAGGGCAATAGGGGTTGTTCAGCATGGGTCAGAGAAGGCGAGAAATTTTCAGAACGACTGTCAATGCATCGCAGCTTCTGGGGGCGTTGAGGGCATTGAGGGCCTTTCCCTAGAAATCATGCTGTTGGTGGCTGCACCCTTCCACTTGACCTACCAGAGAAGTCGGAAAGGGAACCTGAGGCTGGTTTTGTGTGGCACTTTCTTGTACACCTTCAACTTCAACTTCCTGGGCCTCGCGGGCTATGCCTTGGGCAAGGAGCGGTTTGCGGATTGCAGTTCGTGCTATGTTTGTCTCAGTGGCACAGTGGGGTTCGTTTTCCAAGAGCACAGGGATTGCAATGGGGGGCTGGACCAGGATGAGCAGCAGCGGCCATTCTCGGTCTTCAGTCTAGGCTGGGAACAAATCCAGAGAGGAGCGTCTCCGAAAGTTGCATCAACTTTTTGGCTTGGCCTTCACTTGCCTTTCAACATAGCCTTGCGTTGTGTTCCTGAGCCAACTTTCTCCTCCTTGACCGAGGGGACCTCCGGGCTCTTGTTCGGGCCCTGAGCACTTAGCAAGCATCGGATTTCATGGCGCAGGCGGACTCGTTGTCTAACGCACCGAATGCACGCCGCAAATTCATAAATCCGTACGAATTGTAGCAAAGCGCCAAACAAAGCTAGCGTGGCAGACCTTATTAAACCACGGGTTTGTAAATCATGGGTTGGATTTCGTTGATCCCAAGGCTTTCGACAACTTCCCAGAGTCTGCAGATTTCTCATTTCGGCGATCACGCATCCGGTTGTGATGGCAGGCTTCAACCAGTTGCGGTTTGGAACTCGGCCAGGCATGCAGATCCGAGATGCCAGCGCAGATCCGAACGGTGCCTCACCGACTTAATTCAACACGAAACGCTTCTCTTGGGCCAGCAGTCCAAACGTGTGTTTGTGAAGCCTTGGGACACAGCTGGAACCGGGCCAGAGCATGACACACCAAAACTGAAAATGGCTACTCAGCGGCACCATGTTGCGCACTGGGCCCCCATAAAAAGCAAAAGATGAGTAGTTGCCTGAAAGCTAGTCAGTTGAGAGGGCAAAGCTTTGTTGCCAGCGGGGGTCAGCTCGGCTGACTCGAGCAGCGGCCAGCGCCGAGCTATCATTATCGCCTGGGAACATGGCTCACGAGAGGCTTCCTTCCAGAGAAAAGTACGTTGCTCAACCGCAGCACCCTATGCATATCCGTATAATATGTATACAATACACGTAGTGGTGTTGAATGTGAAACGATGCATACATACATACATACATGCATACATACATACCTGCATGCATACATACATACATACATACATAAGTACATAAACACAAACATACATACATACATACATGCATGCATACATACATACATACATGCACACATACATACATACATACATACATACGTGCATGCATGCATACATGCATGCATAAATACATACATGCATACACCTACCTACCTACCTACATACATACATACATACATACATACGTACACATACCTACATGCATACATACATACATACTTTAGAGCCTCCGGCTCAGTCCGCCGACATTGTCCTCTCCCTTTTCTCCTTCTTCCCTCTCCCTTGTCTCCCTCGTGCGTTCTGTCGTCCTCTCTCCCTCCCTTTGCTCCCCATTCTCCCCATCCCCCCAAGCCTCTCTCTCCTCAATCTCCCACTCTCTCTCTCTCTCTGTCTTTCTGTGTCTCTCTTTCTCAGTCTCCGTCTTTCTCTCTCTCGCTGTCTCTCTCTCTCTGTCTGTCTCTTTCTCTGTTTCTCTGATTCTGGCTCTGTCTGTGGCTCTGTCTCTCTCTCTCTCTCTCTTTCTGCCTCTCTCTCTGTCTCTCTCCCGCTCTCTCCCTCCCTCTCTCTCTCTCTCTCTCTCTCTCTCTCTCTCTCTCTCTGTCTCTCTCTCTCTGCATTGCAGCGTCACGTCCCCCCCCCCGAGTTGCCTCGATGTCCGGGCACTGCCCCTGCATGACCCTGAACTGTCATCTCACTACTGGCTTTCCCCCTTCATGTCCTTGTCACGTTTTCCATGATGTCCTGGTCCTGTCCCTTCCATGCCATTCAGCACCCCCTTCATGTCCCTGACATTTTCTCGGTATGTCCGCTTCATTTGCCATGTATGTCCCGTTCTTTCGTTGCGAGTCATTTCCCTACATCTCCCGTCGTGCTTGGTTTCCTTGTGCTTTGTTTCCTCTCCTTCCCCCTGCGCTCCCCTTGTTTTCATTTCTGTCCCTTGCATGTCCCTTTCAGTTCCCCTTTGTTTCCCTTTCATGTCCCGCTGCTTTCCTGTCATGTCGACTTCCTATTTCCTCCCCTCATTTCACTTGCACTTCCTTGCATTTCCCCTCTGCTCCCCAATATTTCCAGCAAAAAACACGGGTTTTCCAGCGTTTTCACAATTAGGACGTCCAAAAACACAGAGTTTTTTCCAGATTTCCTGCAAAAGGAGGCAGGAACCCCAAACCAGCAAAGAGCCGGCAGGGGGAATCGAGCCTGGGACCCCTGTTTTGCGACACCGGCTCCCCGAAGACTACGTTTAGTGGAACGTCATCAAATTGCCGCGCGGTCCTTGGGCGGGGGGGGGGCCCCCCCCCCACGTATCAGACGTCGGGCGGGGGGGGGTTAGGGGGGGGGTTATCCTCTATCCTCTCTTAGGTGTCCGACACGCCGAGCAATGTCGGCGGACATATACCTACATACACCTACATACAAACATACAAACATAACATATCATACAAACATACGCCCACACACAAACATGCATACATACGTACGTACATGTCTACATACATAAGTGCCTGCACACATACTTACACACATACATACATACGTAGATGTATACTAATATACCTACCTACTTACATATACATGCATGCACACATACATACATACATACGTCTACCTACCTGCCTACCTACATACCTACCTACCTACCTACATACACACATACATACACATACCTACATACATACATACATGCGCACACACACATACATACATACATACATACGCACCTACCTACATACACATACATACATAAATACATGAATGCACAAATACATACATAAGTACCTGCACACACACACACACTTACATACATACATGCATACATGCATACATACCTACGTACATACATACATACATATACCTACCTGCCTACCTACCTAGCTACCTACCTACATACACACGCACCTACCTACATACACATACATACATAAATACAAGAATGCACAAATACATACATAAGTACCTGCACACACGCACACACTTACATACATACATGCATACATGCATACATACCTACATACATACATACATGCATACATACATCATACATACATACATGCATACATACATACAGACATACATACATACATACATGCATGCATACATACAGACATACATACGTACATAATACATACTCACACATCGTTGTACACATGCACATGAAGGTACTTGGTTGGGCTTGAAGACACAGTGTTCACATTGCATTTTCCAGCGTGGTAGCCGGCGCAGCCAAGGCCTACCGATCATCCTGCTGCAAGGAGTGATTCGGTGCGCATCCACACACCGTCCGGGCTTATGTATAATTCCCAGTTTGTCACGACATTTGCTTGACCGCTCACCACAAGGATGCTTTTTTTGTACTGCCATCAAACGTATTACCTTGGTCCGCTTGCCTCTTGTTCTTTGCTTGGTGTGGATTGCCCCTCACCCAGCACGTCCATGGCCGAGTTTTCTTTGGGCGGAGCTTGTTTACTAGTAAAACTCGGGCTCGGCCATGTTTTACTCAAAGCCTGCGTTTTACTGTTGCTCAAGCTGCCAAGCTGCCAAACACCGGCTTTCATACGTATATAGCATCCCCCCTTCCCCCCTCCCCTCGTCATCTACCCACTCCAGAGTGAAGCCAAAGTCCCCCCCCCCCCAAAAAAGAGGATGGTTTTTGTAGCCCCTTCCTCTCCCTTCCACCCCCTATACCCCGCTCTTTAGTTTCATGCCCAAATTTTTGGGTATGAACTTCACCCTCCTAAACGACTTTGTTTCCCCATGAATGTAATTGTACAAGTGGGTGTGAGAAGGGTGGTTGTGGGCAGGACTGCTCAAGAAGAACCAGTGAAAACACAGGGAGAACCACGCTAAGTACCGTGAAGCCCTGTGCGAACTCCGTAATCACCCCGAGCAAACAGTGTGGGAACCCCGTGAACACTGAATACCGTCAATAGCCCGTGAGAACTCCGTGGAAAGCAACGTGAGAATTCCTTGAAAACCCCGTGAAAACTCCGTGAAAACTCAAACCCACTGAACAACCATTCCTTACCATATTTTCGTGCTCTGCGCGCCGGACTTGTGATGTGCTTCATGCGCTCATTTGATGAGACCTGGTAGTCGGCGATGACTTTCTCAGGGTCGTCCTGCATGGATGCCACTTGTGCTTCAGTCAAATATTCAATCTCTGACTTGCGGAACTGCTGTTGGATGTCTGTGTTTCCCCATCCAAATACGAATGTCATCACACAGTCCGGATACGTTCTGTCATACCCGGTCCGCAAATGGCATTCCCTGTGCCTCGTTCCATGCCTTCTTTCTGACATTTCTGGATGATGTAGTTGATGAGGCCTTTGTCAGGATTGTAGACATCTTGAAGCTTGCTGTAGGTATTGGCGGACTTGTTCGCATCACCTGTAATCGCATCGCATTGGTACTCGATTGGACATCTTCCCGTGCTGTGCCATGGGTGATGCATGGAACACGCCAGTGGTTGCGAATGGGAGGTCTGCCCTTCAACGTGTCGACTGTCGAAGGATTCTCGTGGATCATGTCGTAGGCGCCCGGAAGGCAATCTGCTCATTCTCTCAATTCTCCAGAGGATGAGATGAACGATCTGGTTTGCCCTGTGTTCCTCGATTGAGTAGTACTTGCATATGGATTTGGCGTTCTGAATCGTCCGGTCCATGTCAATCTGCCTGTTGCGGCACACCACGGGGATGATGTCTGTGTCATAGCCTCGTGGATTCTCGTTCAGATGACAGCAAATTCTTTAGATCTTCTTGATGTACTCCATGTATGCTTTTCCTGCAAGTGCTCGGTCTCTGGGAAGTGTCGGATAGTCATCGAAGCGAGCCCTGAGCCAACATGTCTTTTCGTGTCTCTCTCTGTCGTGTTCAGGAACGTAGTTGAAGTCCTGGTGGTTGTCACAGATGGTGGAGCACTCATGGTAGTACTCTTCCACAATGGACAGGAATCGAGTGTTCCAGAAACATCCTGGATTGTTGGCATCCTGCAAGAGTTGGATGCCAGTCTCATCCGTGATCCATCTCGAATTGTCAACTGCCTTGTTAGTCCGGTAGTTGTCGGATTCGGTCTCCTCGTCCATGTCGTTCTTGGGCTGAGCCCTGTTCAGCTTCAGTGGAAGCACTGAAGGCTGCATGGGCGTAGCCTCTTCCTCGGTTTCGGAATCACGCTCATAGTCAGCTTGCTCCATGTTGATGTCATCCTTTTCCTGGAGATGGGATCGTACGGATTGTTCGTCTTTGATCTCCTCCATAACATAATCGGATGACTCATCATCTTTTTCATCGGTCTTGCGGACCGGAGATCCCCTGACAGGGGATGCAGCCATCTTCCCTGCTGGCTTCGGCGAAGGGGCCGCCGGGCTGGATCCAAACAGACTGCTGAAGAGTGGCATATCGGCAAGATGACATGACATGCACAATCGCAAAACGGCTGGATGGTTTGTAAACCGAATTGGCTGCGGACGCAGACACATATTGCTGAGATTCAAGAACGGTCAAACGCAAAATGCTCATCACGGAATTGAGGAGTTGAAAACTACTAAAATGACAAATTCATGCATCGGAATTCATGGACATGTTTGTCATGCCCAGGCTCCCCAGTAAGCAAACATGGATTCTGCCATACCGGCTCCTGCGAAGGCAGTGATGTCGGGTCCGTGTTTTCTATTGTGTGCGAGCCGTTCAACCAAAAATGCGTTGTTTTGCAACATGGTACGGAAGGGTGGATGTGCGTCAACATTCAAGAGGTTGCCCGTCAGGACGGCCCGAGTCTGCAAGGCAATCTTCACTTTGTACATGTGCAAGGCCACTATTGCTTTCCTTTCGCAGCATCTGGATTAAATGCATTGTTTCTTTCTGTTCCGGTTAATGGGTTGTGGATGCAGTTGTAACAAGGTTGTTTGCATCAGTGCGGATATGAACATCTGCGATTTCGCCTGCAACGTCTGACCAGAGACCGCAAAGAAATACAGCCGAACCGTAACAACGCATCAATCCGTGCAATTCGGCAACAGTTGTGGACATTGTTATGTTGTCGCGGTGATCTTTTGCGTCTCGTAATCGACCAATGAGCCTCTCGAGCGGGATGAGCCCTGGCGAGCATCTCGTTGTTCTGCAAGAAAGATAACATGCGCGCGTTGGGATGACTTATCTTCATTGTTGCGATAGGATGCATCTGGATAACCAAGTATGCGTGTTTTCCCATGAAGGGGCCAGAATCTCATACCAGGCGGGCTGCTTTTGATGGTTCTGACTGTTTCATTGATAGCGCGAACGTCCTCAATGGTTGGAGATGATGCCTTGGATGCGCACCTGGAGAATTTATGGCCAATGTGGAATTGTGTTCGCGATTGAAACCAGTTGATCTGACCCAAGACACTTCTGTATGCAGTATGCATCTGAGGAGTGAGAGGAGTATCATCCTTCAAGTGCTTGTCAAAGGTGATCTCCTGAAGTTCGTGAATGGCAACGTTCTGATGGACATTGATGTACCAACCGTGCCTGTCGTCACGCTTCCATTGGATGCGTCGGTCGTACAAAAAGGCAATCATTTTGTCTTCGGAACCAACTTGAAAACCCTTGCGACATCCCCAATCATAAGAAGATCATCTACATGAAGAGACAGTGCTCCATGAACTTGTCGATTCTTGGCATGGTACGAAACTGGATCTATGAGGTGGTAGTCAACTGCTCCTTCTAGATCGAATGTGTTGGATCATTTCTTCAGATGACCGAAGTTGGTTTTGGAAGCTACTAACAGCATTCCTCCAAGGCAAGGCATACGATCAGAATCGGGACATCATTTGCCAGATCCCTCCAGAAATGGGATATCCGCCACACATCGGTGCGCGCGTGAAAAAGACTGCCTACGGGCTGAATGACGCACCACGCAGATGGTGGACATCCTAGACTTGGCAGTCCGTTCTTACGGATTGGTGCCAAGCAGGGCAGATCGTTGTACATATGTTTACTACGGTATTCAAATCCATGTGGAAAATGTTCCAGCCCTTGTTTGCGGCTGCTTGGATCACAAGGCGAAGTTCAAGGATGTCGATGTTGGTATTGCATGGAGGTGTCTTGTGATATCTGAGACGCAAGGTCCAATTTACCTTAGCTGTTTCTCCATTGGCAAAAGTGAACTTGGTCCCGGCCGGGATGTGCTCATAGGAGATGAGGTCTTTCATGGGTTCGATGGCCTGAGTAAAACGCTGGATTGTATGCCAGCTGCCCATGGATCTGGCACAACCGCTGTCCAGGATTGCAGAGGTCGGATTTTGCCGAGGGTTGATGACAGGCGCCATCAGCTTTGTTGCCGAAGCTGTGATTGGTTGTGACGGACAGATTGTGTTCCGAAACTCATGGATGGCCTCTTTCTCATGCTGCTCGTGAGCGTCATGGAATGCCATTAATGCTTGTCCGGTGCTGGATGATGTCTCATCAGATGAGTACCAGCTTTGTTCGTTCCAATTCCACGATTGATCCCAATCTTGGTCGTCCAACCGGCATAGGTAGGCTCTGGGAGTTCAGCAACTTGCAGTGTGGCAGGATGCTCCTCCGGCTTCTCTGCGATGGCTGCGAACGTTTTGGATTTTCCTTTGTCATGTCCGCCCTTTCCTTTGCCATTCTCATAGGATGGATAACCCTTGTTTTTCCATCATAGGGAGATTGGAATTTGGATTTTCCTTTCTTTCCCTTCTTTCTTTTGTGGCCTTCCCGCCAGAACCGCTTTTTCGAAAGGGTTTGAAGCCACCTCGTTGGTGACTGCCCTTTTTGTTTCCTGATTTTCCTTTTCCTGTTCTCTTCTTGAATCTGAAATTCCGCCCTGACACTTATCTTGCGATGAACGCATCGTTCTCCTCGAGGACCCAGAATGTCTCCTCATCGTTGCTTGACATGAATCCTTCAAGTCCATTTTCATCTTCAACCCAAAAGCCTTCTTCTCCTTCGTATTCGCCTTGTTCGAGGATGAAGAATGTGTTGCTTCGGTTGCCTCCTTGAGGTCGGATGGATGGATCTTGGATGGATGTCCTGGTCGCGATGAAGAGTTCATGGTAATGCGCCTTCAGCATCTCATAGGAGTAACGCTCTAGTGAAATGTTTCTCAGTGACACAGCACTGGTCAGTCTTTCTCTCTGCTGTCTGACTGAATGATGAAAAACTGCGCAATGAGATTATCCTCGAAGGGAAATGCGTCCCGCTGTCTGTCCTGCATTCCCGTGATATACTGTCTGAGGACTGTCGGATCATCCTCATTTAGCAGGACTGGAGGCGGTGCTCGAGTACCGGCTGCTTGCTGATGTCGAGCAATTGTTCTGGTGTTTGCGTCCTGTACGGACTGTCGAAATGATGGGGACTGTGCCGTGAAGACGGGCATCAAGTCCATCCATGCTGCCTTCAATCTCATGAGAAGGATTTCGAATTTGGATGTGAAAATGAGGAACTCTTGGTTCTGCCTTCTGTGATTGATGTGATTGAAGAAACTGAAAGGCCTGACGTTCGTGGTACCCTTCAGGAAGTACTGCGTCAGCGTGCTCTTGAAGTAGTTGACTGCTTCTTCCGGATCTTGCAATCGGTCGTTCTGGAGGACTGCCTTGTACATGTAAGCATCTCCAACGAGTCTGCTCTTGAGGAGAGGTCCTCGCTTGGATGCTTCGATCGTTGCGAAGGTTGTCCAATCATCTACGAGTTCTTCATACCTGAACCAGCTGACTTTTCCGTCGTACGACGGCGGCTGCTTGGCGGTCATCGATAAATCGAGCGTCTCACCAGTATAGCCGGATGGTCGGCCTGTATGAATAGGCTTCCATGAAACCTTCTCCATCGGATGACATTGCTCCTGAATCTTGCGGAAAACCTGCTTTTCCCGCCCCAAAAGACATACACACATATATATATAGGTATATATATATAGGACCAAACCCCTAGGTTCTCCGATGGCGACATGTCAAGGATCCCGTTGGTTGGGGTGGGGTGGGTTGGGGTGGGGTGGGGTGGGTGGGGTGGGGCAAAATGATAATGTCACGGGGTCAAAATGACAACGTTGGGGTGGGGTGGGGTGGGGCAAAATGATCGGCCAGGATATCGTTGGTTGGGGTGGGGTGGGGCAACCTGTGCTTCTCCGGCCCAGGATCCCACTGGTTGGGGCGGGGTGGGGTGGGTCTAAATGATAACGTCACAAGCTTCTCTGGCCCAGGATCCGTTGGTTGTGGTGGGCGGGGAAGAATGATGGCGTCGCAACCACTGCTTCTCTGCCCAGGATCCTGTTGGTTGGGGTGGGGTGGGGTGGGGCAAAAAGATAACGTCACAACCACTGCTTCTCTGGCCCTTGGTTGGGGTGGGGTGGGGTGGGGTAAAATGATAACGTCACCACCACTGCGTCTCCGATCCCGTTGGTTGGGGTGGGGTGGGGTGGGGCAAAATGATAACGTCGCAGCCGCTGCTTCTCCGGCCCAGGATACCGTTGGTTGGGGCGGGGTGAGGTGAGTAAACTCTGATTAGGATGCCTTCATTCGAAGCGTTGACCTTGTTAATCTTGCTCCGTGTGGCTGCGGTACCCCCACTGGTGAAGTGCTGAGCAGTTGGACCATATATATGAAGTGATGTGCTCTGCAGCAGCGAACAATGATCCAGCTTTGGCTTTTGTTCAGCAAGTTTGTTCAGGCAATTACCCTTGGCGAGAGCTTCACTCAGGCCTACTACCTCTTCGGGATGCCACAGCCGCCGCAGGCTGTTTGCGCGGCCCTGTTTGTTCTCAGCTGCAGGCTTTGCCGGCGCACGCAGCAGTTTGCCCAGCTCAACACGCAACTGCACGAGCCGGGGCTCGCGGAAGATGCACCCTTGGCTGCGCCAGATCCCGTAGGCGCTGCCCGGAGATGGCCGCCTGCCGACGTTCCAGTTTTAGATCTCTTTTTCGACCTGCGGCTGTGACATCAGCAAGACTTGCAGCTGGGCGTTCAGGATTCTTTTGGCCTTGACATTCCCAACTGGGCTAGGCAATTGTTCAAGGCTGAAGGCTTCTCATGGACGTGGCCACGTCTGCGTGCGCTTCAAGACAGTCTTTTGGACGAGCGCGAAGCCAAGCAGAGTCCACGCAGCCGAGGGCCACTACGTGCACCAAAACCCTGGCCTAGATGCTGTTTTGACTGCGCTTAAAGTGCATTGTCAAAAATGCAACGGTGTCCTGTCGCCCTCTCAAGCGTTCAAAGAACCTTTGTGGAAGGTGTGACCACTTTTCGCGCGGGGCCCTAGTAAAAAAGTACATTTGGACTTGGGATTCTGCAGCTTGCTTACATGTGAACTCGACAGGCCACTGGGGGAAGCAAAACCATGCTGTTGTTACATTAGTTAATGCACTTCCAGAATGTTTATGTTACGTGGACGGAAAGGACGTTGATCCGCGCGTATCAAAGATGACGTGGCGGTTGTTTGTTGCTTCGGAACACCTGAAACTGCTGTAAATCACAGTGTAAAACACATTGTTGGCTGGGTTTCGACCTACGTATATACATAATTACAGTCACATTAAACCTATAGAAAACATATCAACAAAGCAACACAGAACACACCGCCCCCATGCCAGAAGCATGGTCCATTCTGGACCAGGCATGGGGTCGGCGGCTACCGGAGTGACAGCCGTAATCCGGCTACGCCTCCTGGGGCAGCATGTCGCCGCTTGGCAATTAGCCTGCTAGCTTCAGCTATAGGGGCTGCGCCCGGGTGCCGCCGACCCTTGTCACTTGGTCGTGATGCGTTGCCTAATCCGGCACCTCTGCATCACCAGCTCGGGCTTGCGGTTTTGCTTGCCTGTATGAAAACCCTCGCAAAACGTCGCGTATATGGTTTAGGCCATGTGGCTGACATCATCAGGGTCGGGGGTGTGGCCTGGGTGATGCTTCAGCGGGGCTTGGTCTGCATCATCAAGCGCACGGCCCTTGCTTTTTTCCGTTGGTTTTCGGGCCTTCTGGCGCGAGCACACACACAACACGCTGCTATTTACGGTGTTTTGTTGCATTTGCGTTGCCGGGCCGGCTTGCGGGCTGCTCTTTTTGGGCTGCTCTTTCTTGGGCCTCTGGCGCACGCGCGCGCGACCCCGTGTCAGCCTTCTGGGTTGGGGCCCGGCTGGGGCCCAGAAAGCTGGCATCCCCGGCATCATCTGGGGTTGGGGCGGGCAACATTATCATAACCTAACCAGCCATACCATAGCACAGGATACGAGTCTCATGACATGACATGGTATAACTTCAAAGAGGCGTAGCCGGCTAGAGGCCGCAGGCCCAGAAATACGAGTGTTTGTGCAAGCCGATTTCAGCTTGTTCGGACAATAGTTCTGACTGCAGTCGATGCGCGCGCTGTGATCTGGCCTAAGCCATACGGCGGTTGGCTTATATTCTAAATGCCAGGCGTGCGATGAAAATTAATGAGCCAAAGAGGGATGGACTGCTCAAAGTCAGCACTAAACAATTGCAAGGACGGCGCAGCGCGAAACGCGTGCGCTGCTTGCGTGTGCCGTACGTTTCCGCTGCCCAAAGCTTTTGAGATCTTAAGAGTGAAATTTGGGTCGCGCATTTAGCACAGACTTTACTTAAGCGACCAAATGCTACTGGTAGGTTCTGACTTTACTACCGCGACCAAAGAAAATTTCGTCTTTGGAAGTATTGGGTTACCGTATCAATACCCAGGAGTCCAATTCGAGAATGTGAGCCAATCTTGCACATTTGGCTGTAAGTGGAAGCAAACAAAGACCAGGTTGCCCCATTCCGCCAAAGTAACAACGCAGATTTCCTCTTGGAGATCTGCCGGCTGGTCTCCAAAACGTCTTATCAAACTGATGACCACCCCTAACCCCTTCAAAAACAATAGGAAACATGCTGCGGCAAAGAGACCGGGTGTTTATGCCAGGAGTCTTCTTTTTGTTCGCCATGATTATCGTGGTGGCCTACCACGTGATTTTGATCGTGCTTTGGGCGGCGCCCATGACCACCCGCATGCAGAAGCAGTTCTTTCTCACTGCTCAGGTCTTCAATGCTTGGCACCTGGGATAGAAAAACGAGTGGTTTGCGCTGGGCTTGGACGAAAAGGCCGATGTGTTTTTGATTTTTCAAAAGAAACACTAAACTGGAATTGAAGTTGTTTGTAGTTGTTCAAGAACCCCTGTTCCACTCCTAGTTCAGCCTTCTGCAAGGTTTGTGAAGTTTTGCGAAGCCGAAAGGTTGGACAGTTGGTCAACTGAAGGCAGTTCATGAGAGTCCTATGGCCATGTTGCATGTGAGACGGCCTGCCCGGATCATTATGGTTAGTAGAGTGGCTTTGGCTGGGCACAGGCGGAAGCACAGAGGGTGGAAGCTTGGAGTGGGTGGTTGGAGGCAGGTTTCACGCCATGTTGCTTCTTCCTTTTCCTTTGGTTTCTTTTTCCCCCATCATCGGAAGGTTGTTTGCCCGAAATCCTGTAAGAAAACACTTGTAGACAAAGCAGGCCTAAAGTTTGCTTGCATTTATTGCCTTTGTCCCCATGCAGTGTCTTTGGATGGCCAAACCCAACTCCGGTTGTCGTCATGTGAGGAGCGGTTTGGACGTGTTTTGCGTGACGATCCTCGCGGGCGTGTTGGAGATCCGTCAGTTCGCGGGTTTCATCGTGGGAGATACCTGTGTGCGGCACTGAGCATGCTCTGAAGGCCACCGGCTGGGTGCTTCAAACAATCAGGGGACCAGTATTGAAGATTGGGAGAACACAGACCCCCCACGGAACCTTCTGCCAGCTGCAATCATCATGGACGCTGAAAGGGTGCAAGCCCGGCATCGTTTGCAAATGTTTGCAAATGACCCTTTCTCCGTGTCCATGAGCGGAGGGTAGTCAGACTCTTTGGGCCTCAGATTCAGATCGGTTGTCCCGTGGTCAGAGATTCCAGGGACTGGCCTGGACGCTTGGGTTTGTGGATCTTTGGGGGGCGCTCATAGTTGTGACCTGATGCAAGCTTGTAGGAGAGTAGTTCCACATGGCTATGTTTGGCAAACTGTTTGGAGCGTTGTGCAACGATTTGGCTTGGTATTTGAGGAATCGCGCGCACAGTGTGGAACGAATGCTTGATGTGAGACTCCCGATGTGAGACTCCCGGGGAAGACATGAGTGTTGGTGAAATTTGGGCGGTCCTTAGAATCGTTTCCTTTGGACATTCAATTTGGACGATGCTGCAACAAATGCATTCTGCGTTATTTAGCAACGGCAGCGTGAATTGTGGATTCTTTCGGCCGTGCTCGCAGATATTTTGAACAGCCAGACTTATGTTGAATAATTATTACTGGAGGGGCCTGTTCCAATACAGTTCCCCTCTTGCATCATCAAACACGTGTTTGTTTGATCAAGTGAAGCTCGCAGGATTCATCCGTGTATATTCCCCCCCCCCCCCCCCCGGCCACTAGAAAAAAATCAGGAACAACCAAGCCATGTCAACAAAGTGCCAATACCATGCTGCGGCTTCAAAACCAAAATGTCACGAGTCCATGGCTATCAGTTTCTCAGTTTCAGGCCTTGGTCCACTTAGTTGCTGATTCCAGGGGCATCAGGGTCTCAATTGGTCAAGGCAGCGGTGAACAAATTCCTTGCCAAGAGCGCCCTCGCTGACAAGCTGCCAGGCAACTTGCGCCGAACTATGCATGAGCGGAGCTGCATCATTTTCGTGGCATGAGAGTCATGCGGGCGCCTTCATTGAGGGAGAAAGGACGAGGCCAAACGATCCCCCACGGCAGCTTCATCTCCCTGTTTGAAACCATGCACTTCCATGTCTTGGGTTTTCAATGTTTGACAAACCCGCACTTGGCAGAAGATTTGTTTTAGCATCACGAAAGTGACCGGCCCTTTGAGAGGACAGCTTCCATGATTTGGAGAGAGAGCGCCGCTCCATCCCGCCGAATATGTTGGGGTCACTCCGCAAATGCGGCTCGGAATTTTCTCATTAAAAGAGGGTTTTAACCAACTGGTTAAAGGGGCACTTCCCATTCCCTGCTTAGGCCCCCGTTGAAGTGCCCTTTGATCCTTGTTGCAAAAGATCATGTCAAACCCTACGTAGTAGCTGACCGCAGGTGGTCCCACCTGCTTCGATGTGGATTCCACGCTGCGCGCGGGGTTTCCAGTCCTAGCAATCGTGCCTTGGCAGGAGTAAAGCAGTGGCATTTGTGAGCCACGGGTGCTACAAAGCGAAATTTGCTCAATGTCCCCAAACGGGGAACCACAAGCGGATGGGTATTGTCAGATATGTTGTCCGGACCCCGAAGTTTGCCACCCGAATTGCGCGGCAATTGCGAGAGGGAGGTACGTAGTTCTTTCCTAAAGCTTTGGCCAATCCCTTGTTTTGGAAAATATTTGTTGGCTTCGCTACATGCATCCTTTGGCTTTTCCCAAGGCAGTCGTTTCGCCTACTTGTCGCAAGTTGTAAATTCGCATGGCCGCGCACCATAGACAACAATTCGCGATGTGAGGCCCCCGTTTGCGAAGTAACACGCACCTGAGCCCGCTGTGATCCCTGGCCATGGGCTGAACTGCAACGGAACGGCAGGAAAGGAAGCCAATGAAGTTCAGGCTACGCGTATCCCTCCAGATGTTGCAATTTAAACGCATAACTTTGAACACAAAGATGCATGTGTACAATATGGGCGTCGCACACCGGGCTGAATCTTGGACACGCAGGGCTTCGGGACAGCTCAGGAGCTGCTTAACTTGCCCAAGCTGTTTGGTCCCGGCTATGGGCAGCACATGTTGTCTTGGAACTCGAAAGATGAGCTCCTGTCATACAAATTTCATACATATATATATATATCTACATGTATCCATATTATATGTTGACATATATAAATAGATACATATCTATATTCACGCATGGTTCCATATTATAAATGATGTGTACATAGTTCATGTGCGTTTCATCATCTCCATGTCCATGTTCCTTTCTCTTTGGGAGCGGGCCCAAGAAGCAAGCTCAAGCCAAAGTGGGGCAACCCTTCGACTCCAGGCAGTCGTGATCTCTACGGTGACAGGGCAGGTGATGCTGTCGAGGTGCAGCCACGCCCTGTGCAGCTGGGCGAAAATTGGCCGATGGCAGTGTCCGGAAGGTTTCATGAAGCAGGTGCTGGAGTAATTAGGATGGCTGTTGGGCTGGGCTTATGTTAGACTTTGAGGTTGGTGAGACATGAAACATCATTTGAACGTATGATTGCTTTGGTGTACCCTGGGGTTGACAAAGTTTAGTTCGATGGCATTGCCAGCTGCGCAAGTTAGTACATGAACTTGCTGCTTACAACGAGCTCACCCACGATAATCCTTAGCATTACTGCCGACATATACACAAATATTTATGTGTACATACATACAAGAAATACATGTATATATGGGTTTGTCCTTTTTTGGTGTGTTGAGTTGCTTCAAAAGGCAGAAGGTGGGACCTCCCCGAATCATACCCCCGAATCATACCCCGAATCATACCCCCGAATCATACCCCTTAAAACGTATGCTGCAAGATGCTACTGTTCTTCTACCGTTTTGTGTTGTTCGCTGCCTCCACAACAACCACCACCACCAGCGCTACCCGATACTACCACTACCACCACCACCACCACCACTACTACTACTACTACTGCTGCTGCTGCTGCTGCTGCTGCCACTACTACTACTACTCCAATTACTACTACTACTGCTACTACCGCGACTACGAGTATTACTACCACTACCACGGCTACTACCACTGCTACTACTACTGTTCTGCTTCTACTTCTGCTTCTGCTACCCTTAATACTAACTACTACTACTACTACTACTACGACTACTACCTTTATTACTACTACTACGACTACAACCTTTACTACTACTACTACTACTACTTCTTCTACTACTGCTATTCCTGCTGCTACTACTACTACTACCGCAGCTACTACTACATTCATCATTCTGAGTTTGTAATCAGTGCCGTTTTGCACCTAGCCGAATCATACCCGCGAAGCATGCCCGAATCATACCCGGACAGTGAGCTTCCCCTGTCAAGGCTAGTGCCAAGTCTTTTTCAAAGCGTCCGCACCACTACAGTCGCTGCTTCTACTGTTACTACTACTACTACTACTACTACTACTACTACTACTACTAGTACTACTACTACTACTACTACTACTACTAGTACTACTACTCCTACTACGACTACTGCTACTACTACTACTACTAGTACTACTACTCCTACTACGACTACTGCTACTACTATTTACTACTACTACTACTGCTGCTACTAGTACTACTACTACTACTACTACTACTATTACTACTACTAACTACCACTACTAACTACTACTACTACTACTACTACTACTACTACTACTAGTACTACTGCTTCTGCTGCTGCTGCTGCTTCCGCGAATCATACCCCCGAATCATACCTGCGAATCATACCCCCGAATCATACCCGCGAATCACAGCTGCGAATCACCCCGTACTCAAACCTGCCTGCCCGGCCCCCGTAAAAAAATACAAACCCATATATATATATATATAGTAATGTGGGCAGGCTGCCATGCAACGGGCTGGACAAACTGGGTGAACCTTGCCGTGAAGCTGGCAATTCATTTCCTTGAAGCCTCCAAAAGATGTATTTCTAGATTTTTTGTGGAGTTGGGGAATGGTTGAAAGAGGGCTTGACAAGCCCTAGCAGTCAACTGGTTTTCTTGCATCGCAAGCTTGAGACACTGCACTTATTCGAGATCCTCAAAATTAGCTCAGAAACGCGAAACTATGGGGGTTCTGAGAATGGCCTGTGAAGCAACGCGAGTTCAAAACAAGGCGCAGAGTTCGCGGAAGCCAAGCCTTTGTTCGAAAGGCGAGCCACGCACCAATGCCGACTTGGTGGAGGAAGCCTAGTCGAGAGGTTGGCAGCTTGGCAAGCCCAGGACGAGCCGCCCCATAAAGACTATGTTGGGTTATGTTGGGTTTCTCATTGAGAAAAAGTTTGCTTCCTCTTGTTCTAGCAGAAGCCCAAGGCAAGCACGCAAGAAGTCAATGGTCCGCAGCTTGATTGAGAAGGGCAATGCGGGGTGGCACTTGGCCCTTCTTCGACTTGATCATGTCTTGCATCCTTTGAGTCGCCTCAGTGCACAGCAGCCGGACGGCTGGGAAGGCAGAAAGAAACATTGTTGCGCTTGCGGGGCAGTTTGACGATTTCAGCTGAGGCACGCATCCAGCAGACGGCGCGCTGTAGACTTATGAGGGCAAGATAAGTCAACGATGCGATTCTTCCTTGCATATGAGCCGAACCACAAATCAGCATGGCCGTTCTTTTCACGCTTCTGAGATGCAATATTGTTTTAGTATGTTTTAGTTGAACCACGTCACGCGGCTTATGTGGAAGCCCCTAGATGTTAGAAGCGATCGGCCACCCATTCGCAAGAAACGCAAGCGAGGCATACACAAGTCTCACTTCGAGATTTGGATCAGCTCAGCTGAGCTTCCGACCGGCGGGCGTCAGTAACATTGGCGATGAAAAGTTGCCCACTGAACTCAATCAATCTCCACTTTGATCCAATTATCTGGTACGCCCTGCCGTCAATTAAAGCGGTTGCTTTGATCCGAGTCCGAGACATTTTCAGTGGGAAGGCAAATGGCTTTGCGGGCCAGACAGGACTTCATGCTTCGCTTCTGTGAGTCAAACGTGGGGAAACTGGCCTAGGTTTAACTTTGGTCGGTCCAGCCGTCTCCGCCACTTGCTGGAGCATGCAGTCAACATCAATGCACGCTCAGACCTTCACAAGCACAGCCTCAATGATGCGCATAAACTCTCTGCCGTTCGGGCAGGTTGAGACTATGTTTAGTTTGCTTGCGCGCCAGCTTTGGGTGGCTTGAAATTATTGCGTTGCCCAATGATGTTGTTACAGTTACACCCAAGGTGGAAGAGCCTGACTTGGGGAATCACACTGAACTTCCTGGCTGGCCCTGCAAGATTGTGCCAGTGCTCTTGAGTTGCAAAATGCAACGAGGACCACATTGCACACATTTTACATCTCGTGCAGCAATGCTCGCACCCCGACGGACCCTTAGGGCAGGAACTTGCGGGATTGCTGGTGCAAGGGTGCCAGCTTTTTTGGAATCGGGTAGTATCCGGTAAAACGGCACATCGCTGGCTGAAGCCAGATCCCTTAGAGAGGTGGCATCAGCTGGCATTGGAGACATGGAGTCTTTGCTTTTTGGCAGACCCCAAGGCCCGACGTTGGGGCGACTTGCTCTGGTGGCGCGGGGCCCAGTACTCGGTTCCGGCACCATCCGGAGCCGGCGCCAAACCGAGCATCAACCTGTCTTGGCCGAAGTCGACAGTCTAGCGCAGGATTTCATTTGGTCACTTGGGTATTGAAATCAGGGACGCGCGACAATGGGTAGTTTCCTCTGAATTTCCTTCCCACCCCCGAAAAGGGTACCCTCAAAAAAAGATGCACCCAGCTGAATCGAAGCGTCAAAGTCAGGCAATACATCGGTCAGGCTCTGAGTTGTGAGCTGCGTTCTGATTGTGCCACGCATGCCTGGTCAGCAGAGGGTAACCCCAGGTTGATATGGAAATGCAGAAACGGGACGGGGGGTCTTCCCGGAGTCTGTTGGGCATGTTTCCAGTTTGAGAGGTGTGGCTGAGAGATGTTGAGGGGTTTTTGCGCTGAGTTGGAACTTGTATTGCTTGGGGTGGCATGGCCTGCTCTTTCCTTCCATGTACAGGTTTGCTTTGAAACCTAAAAGGGGCCCCAGTCGGTGTTTATCCATGCCCAGCATGACGACCTGCTTTGGTTGTGCTTTCTTGGGGCGGCAGCGTTTCCTGAGGCTCGGACTTTGTGGATGCGAAATGTCCTCGGGGACAGGTCGCCTTGCATGCGGCCTGCGCCTAAGCAAGAGGTTGGTTTGTTGTCCATGTCCTTTGTTTGTTTTTCGAACCACCCCAATGGCCCCAATGGTTAACAAGACTGCCGATTGATAGCAGCGGCTCCACACCAACTGGCCATTGAGCATGGAACGATGCGGTTTGGTATGGATGAGTGGATCAGACAGGACGCAGCTCACAAGAATGAGCTGGCACTGCAGCACATCTTCCAGGCTCCGTTCCCAGATTTGGATCCCCAGCTCACACGGGAGAAACTTGGGGAGGAAAATGACCAAGGCAGGCCAAAGCTGGAGGTGCGTTTCGGGAGGTGGTAGGAGCACTGTTGTGTCAAGTGCAGATGCTGGAGCGGGGGAGCTTTTGCGCTTGAAAGCTCAGCATGTGGATTTGTTTGGAGTCAGGTGCTTTGTTACAACTTGCCTTTGTCTTGCAAAAGCAAAGTGAGCGTTTGAATCACCCCCCCCCCCCGGGGGGCTCAGGACCGGAAGGAAAAAACATGAACCGCGGCCTTGGACATGCGGGCCAGGCGCTGTGTGAGCGCCCAGCGACGCTCGAGGAGTTCCCTCGGAACTCCACGCTGTGCTGGGGGCTGAGTCGCTTTGCTTGGGGTCCTTTGCATGGTCCAGGCAGGGTGACGTTTAAGCCCACAAGCAAGGAACGCTAAGGGACCCCGGATTCGGACCCATAGGTTGAAGTTGGTTGGGCCGATATGTCCAAACTCTTTTGGTTGGTTTCGCTAGCACTTGCTTTTGTTGCCAGTTCAAGGGGGGGTTTCTTTGTGGCGGATGTTTTTGTTTGGACGCAGAAGTAATCCAATAGTTGCAGGCATGTCTGAACAGGTGCACGCTCAGATATCTAAAGTGGCTGCCGTTGTTTGTGATGCATAAGCTGATGCAGCAAAACTGGCTGTAGGTTCATCCCCAGCTGAATTATTCAATGGACCACCCGAAGGAATGGCTGTGTTAAGGTAGAGAAACTTGTTTTTCTGGGGGGGAATGGGGGGGCATTTCCTTTGGTTTCGTCTTAAAGCAATCCTAGGGTTCCAAAGCCGTCCAGGCGAAGAGGAGGAGGCGCCCAGGAAAGGCACGCCATGGTATGCCAGACCCGCGCAGCCCGAGTCTCTGGCTGAGACAAGCTGGCGACCGATGGAACCTAAGCACAGGGTGAAAGAAGATTGCACAATTTGGTTCATCCCCCATACCCAAAGAAAGGGCGATGTATGGCATTGTGCCATTTAGCTTCATCCTGGTGTACCCTCTGGCTGGTCGAAACCAACCCTCAATCTTTTTGCACGATGATAGGGTTTAGACCCTGCGCAATTGTTGAGTACCGTAACCCATGGTGCCAAAGATGGAGTCGGGCATCTGATTGATGGTTTTGTGCGGAAGCCTCTCTGTAGAAATCTGCCCATTGCGATCGTCTTTGTGTTACCTGGGCTGCCGCCTTTTTGCCCTAGGTTCACCTGCTACACCTTCCAATAGGCGTCGGTTGAATCAGCTACCCTGTTCATTATCCCGATTCCGCAGAGCACATGCCTCAACTGACCAGCTAACATAGCCGCTCGCCCTCAGCGTCTAAAGTACGAAACATGTCCATTCTTAAACAGGTGCGACATTTCATGACTCCAGTCTTGGTCATGATGCCTTGGCAGGCAAGTGTTTCTGTCATGAGCGTTAACATGGGCTTGCCGTGGCAGCTTCTCCTGACGCCAAGGTGCCAGGGTGAGCGTTTGCAGAACATGACGCAAGAGGCGCTTGGAGCTCTGTGGCCGACGACGTTACGTTCTGTAGAGTTTTGCATGCTTTAAAGGCGCCAATGGTTTCCATGCAGCTTGCGCCCATGCCCTGCGAACTGCTGAGAGTGTTGCATATTCGTGGGCACGGTTACTCCCTGCAGACCAAGTTGCTTGATGTTTGCTGAAATCCCCCCTCCGCAGGCTCCCCTTTGTGGGACAGCAGCGCTTTTGGCGGAGCGAATGCCCTTTCAACCGTGGTTGTCGAGCGGAGGCGGCAGATGCAAAGCTCTCCAGCCGTTGGTGGCAGGAGGAGGCAGGCTGCTTGAGAGGGAGTGCGAGAGCAAAGATACAGCAATTTGTCAACTCAGTGACTGGCAGCAATGGCCGGCTTGTACTAATGTTGGTTCTGAAGGATTGCAACGATGTGGCTATTCATGAGTGAACTTTCCCGCACATGTTTCTGCTGGAAAGGCTAACTTCAGTAGATGGGATGAGATGAAGTCATGAAAGTCTGAACTCGAGAAACCATCTCGGGACCAAGCCCAGAACGAGCGCGCACATGAAGTGGAGGTTTTCAGTGGATCCCTGATGTCCATTGTGCAGTGAGTGGATCCCTTCTTTCGCGCAGTCTGTTTGTGCTTTATTTACTTCTTAGTTTGGCATACGAGTGCATTGGGATCAGGTCAACATAAGTTTGAGGCACAAGTTGGATGTTTGTTTTTTCTTTCCGCCGTCCCCGAAGGCACATCCGATGCAGTCAACTAGGGGTGCTCCATGGCCTGCCTGCAACGTTTGCATACAGTACAACTCTGCCATGTGTAATTGATAGTTATGAAATCAAAGGCTGTAACTTAAAAGTCCAGGGTCAAGAAGGCAGGGGCGAGGGTTACCATCATGGGGCCCCTTCATGTGTTGGGCTTGAATTCCCCAGCCATGGTGTGGTGTGGTCTGCCAGTTCAAGCGCGTAACTGCCGACTGAGAATCCATACACAAAGTCCATTGGAACCGCTGACTCGACCACTTGCACTTCTGAGCCGCTGGCTTTTCCGAAGTATATCAGCATGAATTTGCCTGCAGCCAAAGCTTGGCAGGAAAGTGGGCTGAATAGCTCACATTTGATTTCCGCTAAAGTACGCCAACAGGCCTCACAATTGGGCCCCCAATTCAGGTCCGCTTGCTTGGCGGTTCGGGGATTTCCTTTGATTCTTGTGGGGAAGTGGGAACCCAACCTCCCAGCCATTAAGCCAATCCACCATTTAGAGGGAAGCTGGCTTCACCTTTCCGCAAATTGGTGGTTTGGTTTGCTTGGACGTGTTTAGTCCCCAATTGGAGGGACGTTGATCCAGCCGCCGTTCCACTCCAGGTGCAGGATGCAGCCCGTCGAGCCGCCAAGGCTCTCAACCGCGAGGCGCCACCGTCAGACGAGGCACGTCGGACAGGGGGAGCCAACTCGCGTGCCGGGGGGAGTCGCGCGATTCCTTGGATGTTCATTTGTATTGCGTTTGTGTTGGGTACAGTTTGATTCGTCGGCCTCGCTAGTGTGCACAATTTGTTAAATTCTCTACAGATACCATAGATACACTAATAGAAGTATTCTTGTGGATCCGTTTGAGAGGCTGAGGTGATCAGGAGGAATCATTATTGAGGTGCAAGGTGTGTCGCACACGCGCAGCATCCGGCTCCAAAGCGGCAAACGGTTTCGATTTTGGTTGTTCCTTCAGGGTAAAAGGGCCTGCCGGGTCCTTGGCATCAGCCTCGTGATGCCCATCAGCGATGCGCAGTTCCTCTCGCAGCTTGGATTTGATCTGCGCTATCTGAAGAATGTTCCCTTTCCTGGCCACACCGCGCGTGACGGGTGTTGAGACTATTGACACGACATGCGGCTGGGGCGGCGATGTGCTGGCACTGGTTCCTGGTGCGGTGTTGTTTTTCTCCATCAGGGGCGCTTTTTCCACCCTGTTTTGGCCAGGCCACTGTTCACATCTTTGCTCCACCCATTTTCTCTCCGGGGGACTACTTTTTGACTTCACCGTAGAGGGCATTCCTTTCCCACCCTCGGACTGGCAAAAGCTGGGTCCACGTTCGCGAGGCTGGCGAAAGGACTGGCGCAGGAGCTGCCCAGCGCCTTCCCGCGGCGCTTGCGGGAAGCGTCGCTTGGCTCGCGTGAGGGGGCTCCTTCGACTTGTTGCTTTTGAAGGTGTTTTTCTCTAAACGAGATGAATCGAAGCTTGAACCGCTTTGTGATTGAGACCTGGCGCCACCGTTTTACTTGGTTAAAGAACTCTTTGGTTGAAGAACTGTTGATCGTCTCATATTCTTTGTGTTTTAAGTTCTGAGCTTTTCGTGAAGAGAGCAATTCCCACGTAGGTTAGAAGAGTTGCTGGAGAAGACCAAGGCGGGTCTTGGGAACAGAGGTCCAAGAACTCTTAGATGATTGCGGGGAGGGGAGGGCGTCATTCCCCGTTCGGCAGCATGAGCCATTATGATATGAGGGTTCAAGAGAATAGTATTTTAGTAATTTGCCCAAATAGTTGGCTGGCTTTTGAAAGGTCTCATGGAAACCTGGCGGAAGCCTTTGGTCGTGCTGTGTTTAGAAACTGGCACCCCTTTTCCGGCGGGCCTCCAGAGAAACCAACAGGAACGCGCCAGCATGACTTTGGGTTTTCCTGTTCGGAGAGACGCAGCCCATTCCTTGCTTGGTGTGTTTGAAGAACATGTTTGGTCGCCAATTTCAGCTCATATAGTTTCCATCTAGTTGTAGACGCGATGTTGAAAGGGGCGCACATAAGACACCCTGTTCATCCCGCCGTAGTTGTTGCCTTTCCCTCAGTTGCCCAAGTTTGCCCGACGTTTCAAGCTTCTGGCATTCCCTTAGCCAAGAGGGCTCCGTTGTGTTCCTCGTCGAAGGGTTGCTCTTTCCTCCTTTGCGGCATAGTAGAAGAGACGAGGAGTTTTGGCTGCTGCCCGTTTGACAGTGAAAGCTTCCAGAATGAACCGTCTGGCCGCATGTTGGACGTTTCACACTTAATCCACGTGCAGTGTGTTGGGTTCCCTTTGCGACCGCGCAGGGAGTCTGGCCCTTGAAGAAGCCCATGCCCACTTCTAGATGACAAGTCGTGTCGGCAGGCCATGGCCGGAACATGACATTGATATGGATGACATCTTCTGGAACTTAAAGAGCTTTAGCGGTGCTGGTGCGAGTATGGCTAGGTTGTTTTTTGCACCATTGCCGGAAACAATTGAATTTGCTTGAGCATGTGCTCTCTTTGGGCGTCAGGAGATGGGCAAAGATCTGGCGCCCGACGTGTGCAAAGCACTGGCGACCTTGGTGTGTAGTGTGGTTGCGCCTAGGGTAGCCACCCAAGAGTGCCTCGGACTGAAACCCAACGATTTCGGGTGGAGGAATGCATTCGGCATCATGCGCTGTGCTGCGCTACGTACTGGAAAGCTGGGTGTCCGATCTTTCTCTCTGGTCGAAGAATTGCGCATACCGGATGCCTGTCTCTTGATCCGGTACACACAGACATGTCAGATATGCATGCATATAGCCTCGGCGTGAAGTTTCTGACAAGGCAATTTGTGTTTTGTGCCTGAAACGTGCTTGGCTGCACTGCGACTGCAATTCTCTTTGTGTGCATGCGCACTAACTTGTGGGAACACTGGGTACGCGGGGAGCCCTGGTTTCGCCCCCCTCTCAGCATGTTTGCAGGGCTATGTTGCTAGCGAGTGCGATTCCTCAGGCATATCCTTCTGCAAGTGACCAGAAATAGTTGCACATGCCACGCAAGAGTTCCATGGGAAGGCACGTACGCAAAACCAGAAGCATCCTGCGTAGGCGCCAGCATAAGCTCTGCTGCGTGACTGGTTGCAACAGTTGTTGAATGCCTGGGGCTTAGCCATTGGATGTCCAACAACGCAAAGGTTAGCGCACAGCAGGTTCAGCAACACTAGAACGGATCTATAAAGTTCCAGGCGCGCAAGCAGGTGCGCAAGGTTTGCATGCAGCAAAAGCCGTGTCTTGTTCTGCTGTGGAGAGAACACGAACGCTGGAGGCAAAGTTGTCGGCCAAATCCCAATCGCTGAACAAGAGCATTCTTTATCAACTTCCCTCTCAGAGTCATCCACGTTACCTTGGCTCGAACAGTGGCAGCTGCATAGAAAACGGAGCGCATAATCAATTCTTGAGGGGGAACGCTCAAGACGGCGACGCGTAAGCACCGCGTAAGCTTGACAGGCTCGATGACTGCTGCGTAAGCAAAAACAACGGTCGGGTAAGCAAAGCGGTAGCTCGCGCGCAGACAACCTTCCACAACATAGAGACTCATGGCGTGTTTGTTGGCGAGTTGCTCAAGGGAACTTTGCACGTAGAAAAGCTTGCAGTGAAACCCTTGCTCCACACCCAATAAAGTGGTCAAAGTGGTTCAATTGCCCATCCCAGAGACCACTTTGGGCGCGCTTATTGTTGGCCCCGCGTGTTCTTCTCCCTGTTGGTCCTTTTTTAGTAAGTGCGTATTGATGCCTCCTCAAGGGGTGGATCTGCAAAATTTCAACAGCCACACGACTTCCAGACCAGTTGGTCCAACTGCAGGTCGCTTCAGTTCCTTTGCCTGGAGCTTTTGGCCATGGGAGGCCGTTACGGGCGGGCGACTGGGTGAGGCATTTGTTCAAAGTTGGTTGCTCAAACGCTAAGCTGGGACGCACCACAAGGACTTCCTTTTGGGAAGTCGTGCTTGGTCAAACACTGGCAGGGAATCCTAGATGGCTGCAGCTTCAGCAAATTGGACTGCGGAACTAGTCCCATTGCTACACGTTTCCCCGGCATCGCGCATGGCTTTGGCACTGCGGCTTAAAGTGGTTGAGAAAAGAAGTTCCAGCCTCAGCCAGGCCTATTCAAACCTTCTGTGGACAGGGGATATTTTAGACTTCCGACATTCTGGCGCTGGGTGCCGGACCAACCTCGGCAGGTCGAGCAGTTCGATCTTACGAGGACGCCAGCAAGGCGGATGTGCAGGCCTTCTTCTTCAAGCTGCTGAAGAAGGAGGTGCCAGTCGAAGCCACTACTTCCCCAGCAAACATGCAACATGCTGTACCTTGGGTTCCTTCAAACAGTACGCAACAAGTCACAGTGAGCAACTCGGGTAAGTGTCAGCCTGCAATCCAGCTACCCGGCCATGACGTTCAAGTCTGTGTGTGGCTCGACCCCAAACATACCTTGAGGTGGAATGCCAGATGGGAACTCGCCCGGTCCGCTTCAGGCCAAATCCCAGCCAACCTTCAAGCCCCGCGTCATGGCCGGCAGCTTAGTAAGGGTGCGGTCCCAACTTTTCCTGGCACCCAAGGCTCCCTTGATTAATCAAGGCATCCTCGCACAGGTAGGTCTGCAAGTGGGAGGCAGGGATGGTACGGAAACAATGTCGATGAACATCTCTAAAACAGGGCCCCTTGGAGGAAGCACTGCGACACCACAGCCTGAAGGACCCATGGCAATTTGCATCATGCTCACGTTTGGCCACATTCTCTACTGTACGCCAGAAAAGACCTTTGCATCCCACATGGGTCAACCTCACAACCTCTTCTTTGAGGTGATGCTGCTGCAATACCTGCTGCGGTGGCTGCAGTCCAGCGATGCTGCCAAGAGCATCACCAAAGAAGGCGCCTTCAAAGCCGAGGTGGCTTTGGCTGCAAGCGGCTGAACAATAGGGGAGTGAGTGATGTAGCTTACACACCTGGATGTATTGACAAGGAGGCTTCAACCTGCCAACATCTACAATGCTGGCTGAAAGGGAGGTTCAACTCGGTGAGCTGTCAGAGGTTGATGCATCAAGGGACTTGAGGTCTTTTGATCACCCCATTCCCTTAGCTGATAGTTCCCAGATTGGCAAAAAGAAGCGCCGCCCAACAATTCTCGAGGGAAGCCCACGCCCTTTCCCTTTTTGGCCTGGTGTCCTTGATGAGTTGCGACGATTTGTTCCAAGCAGAAAGCAAACATGCATTGAAAGGCTGGCAGGCTTTCAGGGGGGAAGGGGGAAGACGTGACAAGTGCTGCAACTTGGGTTGGAGGTGGAGCGTCTCAGGAGCTTGACATGTCAGGATGTTATGTTGGCTCCTTCCTGTGTGGTGCTGGAAGTTTGACATGCTTTGGCCACCTGAAGAATCTGAGTCATCAGAGCCTTTGAACCCCATCTTGCGCCACCCTAGAACCCTTCAAGGATCCGTTTTTGCCCTTGGCCTTATTCTGAAAGCTGGCCTTGATTGCTTGAGGCTTGTTGTAGTGATGGCAGCATTGTGGGGCCTGACAGTGTTCAGCTGGGGGGGGTTTTACGCATTTCCCTTTGCACGATTTGGGCAACATTGCTGCAGGCATGCTTTGCTGCCTGTTGGCCATCTTGACGTTCCTGATTTTTCTCGGCTGGACTGGTTTGGCACGCATCTTTCCTGGACCCGTGCTTTTTCCTTCTGCTCAGATGTGCAGTTTCGACTTTGCTGGTTCGCATGCCTCGCAGACAAATACCCACAAAGAGGCGAAGAGGGTTTGTTTGAAGCCAAATGGTGCCAGCTTTTGGTACGTCCTCTCAAGATTCGCTCTCATACCCCCCCAAAAAAATAAATAAACAATAAAACAAGACACCCAAAGCTTCAAGGCAGCCAACTGAGCTGGAAGGTCGTCACCTCGCTGCTGGACACGTTGACTGGGGAGATGAGTCGCTGCATCCGCTGGCGCCCACGCTGGCAGCTCAAGGTGGGTACGGTCGCATCATGGTTCAAAGGGTTAAACGCAACCTAAACGTGGAGGTGATGTGACCTGCTGCATAGCCCGCCCGACTGTAGGGCCCAAAAGATCGTAAAAGATCCAAAACAGCGATAAACCTACATTTTGGAAGGTTCCCTTTTGTCCAGCAAGCATGGAAGCTGACAGGAGGGTTTTCGAAGACTACGGTCCTCTTTGCAAGGATTGTTGAACAGAGGCAAGAGGTTCCCTTTTCGATATAGTGTTTTCTTTGACAAGGAACGGGGCTTGTTTTGCTTTATTTTGGTTGGTGCCAAAATAGTGTTCTTTTGCCGAGGGCGCCTTTTGTTGATTGCTTTTGTTTGCTTTAAAGGGAGGCTAGAACAGACCACAGTCTTCGCTAGAAAGTGACTCATTTGGATAAGCAGTAACACGCGACTTTAGGAGATCCACTCACAGCAATCTGTCAACATGAGGCCATTGGAAGATTGTTTTCTTTTTGAAGGACCTGATTCCATGGTTTCTGATCCTGTAGAAACACAACAAGGAACCAAGTATTTGCAACCACCGACCTTCACTGACCTTGGTACCCTTTGGTATGCTACTGCCCAATTCTGTCTCAGGCTTAAATGCAAGGTGATGCGAGTTGCATACAAGGCAAGGTAGCTCAAGAATGGTGGCGGACATCAATCCGTGCCCACCAATTAGATTTGTTTCATACCTACGTGGAGGACGTACAGATCTTGGCCTTTGGGCGGGGTGGCTCGGCTAGCGCAGGCGACCCGTGCCCTCCGGAAGGTGTTGATCGCCATCTCAGAGGTACGTCCTGGGTTTGCCTTGCAGTCTGGTAGTTGGGCGTCGGCTAAGCAGGAAGTCAAACAGGCAATTTGTCGTGGCTTGCCATTTCCATTGCTGGCCAGAGAAAGTAAACAGCCTCACAACCATGAGCTTCAACTTGTTGCAGGCCCTTCTGCAAGATATTCAATTGGAAGAACACTGACAGAATGGACCCGAATCACGGAATACAGAATCTAGCCTGCGACCTGCATGTTTCGCTTCCCACTTGGCGCCAGGTTGCACTTCCGTGGGCAACAGCCTTCCTCCGCAAGTCGGAGGTGTGGATGGGGGATCCACCTTCACATCCACATGGGTGTGTTTTTTGAGGGTACAGTACCCCTTTCAGATTGGTGCCTACCTCCTGTTGGGCTATATGTAGATTTGGCAGCGTGTTCAAAGGTGCGATGGCCCCGTGAAACGAGCACAGAGAGGCACAGAGACAGGAAATAGACAAACCCACCCAACGCAATGAGCTGCACGGCACCACGCAGCAGTTCAACGGACAGAACCGCACCTTGCCCAGCCCCACCGCACCGACCGCGTGCACCCCCATGCGCACGCTTGAGCACCACCCTGCCTGACGCACCATGTTCGATCCTCCTTTGTGCGTCATACAGTTTGCCGGGCAAAGAAGGACACTAATTGCACCTTGACAACTTTATTGCATCCCTGGGTTGGACACTTTTGGGCGTTTGGGTTTCCAGAAGCACTCTCAGGACCCAACGTTTGCAACCAGGGTCCTAGCACTCTTTCTTTTTGCGCACCACCCAAGCCCACCTCGCAATCAATGTGGAGAACATCTTTGCAAGATGCCTGCAAACGCCGTCGTAGCCGGCCCACAGTTTCCTTTTGTTTGGTTTTACCCATGTGTTAACATTGCTTTACTAATTGGTTTCTTGAGCATGTTCAGATGTTCCCTTCCACAAACCTGCATGTAGATTTGAATGGTTTTCTTGCGTTTGCAGATGCGTTAAACGGCTTTCGCTTGCTGCCCCGGCAAGTCTTTGTTAGGAGCCTCCAGCGCTGCTGGTGGCAGCAGTTACGACCACACCGGGCGTGGATCGAGCAGTCATGCTGGAGCTGTACACAAAGCACGTGCCATGGCTATGCCCATTGTGGAAAATGGGTGTGTCTCAAAATTGGACACATAGTGGTTCGCCTTGTATTCGCTTTACAAGCACAAGACAGCCCTGGAACTTCAGGTCCACTTTTTCGTGATAAGATGATTCCCTTCAAAGTGATGAAGTCGTGTTGTGGGATGCTAAAGGTATCGAGGCTTAGTCTTTTCAGCCTTGATGCCTGGTTTTCTTAAGCTCCCCCAGAGGGCCCAATAAACAGCACCCACCCACCCACCAGCCCAAAAAGGGGCGGATTCGGCAAGCTATTTGTAGAGGTCCTGGAGGCCAAGAAGCCGCTCACGGACTTCGCGCTGGAGGCTTGGAAGCCGGTGGCCAAGCAGAGCTCCAGCGAGGAGCTGGCTGCCACGCTGCTGCCTACGGCCCTCAGGATGATGACCCCTGGCTGACGGAACTTTGTGGTCCTCGTTCAGTGTGGTTTTGTTGGTTGCTTCTTGAGGTGTGATTGTGGAACAGGTGTATGCGATACCTATATCTGTATGTGTACATATCATATGCACGCATATAACAGGGGTGTCCAAAATGCAGAATTGTTGGCTTGTTGTTTTCTTGTTGCCCCACATTGGTTTCCAAAACAGTGAAACGTGACACCTCATCCAACTACCGGCTTTTGTTTGATATTTATTTCCTGGCAGGTCCAACAGTGTCACATAGACACCGCTATGGCAAAGGGAAGGATGGAGCAGTGTCTCGCACAAAGTTTGCTGCAACATGAAAGGGGGTGAGCACCAGCAATCTTAGCTACGTCAATCGCCCGATTGGTTCCCTGCTGGTGTCAACAGGCTTTGGCCTTGCCAATTTGATTGAGTCACTGCTCCCAATCTTAACCTTTTCGTTTGTGTACTCTGCTCTTCGGGGGTGCTGTTGGAGGTGCTGGTGTGCAATCGTTGGCATGTTTTTCGTTATCGGGGGTCTATGCTGTTGTAATTGTCTACCACGGGGAAACTCAAAGCGGTTTCACGGCTCACAACTATTCTCAAAAAGTGTCTAAACATGCAACCCGCAGAAATGGAGGGTTTGGGCGCAGGGTCACAGGGTGGCTCCAATTGATGAGCCAGGAGGCATTAGAAGGCTATGACCAATGGCCCTCTGTCCCCTAACAGGCGCGGGTCACTAAAGTCACCTTCGCTGCAAGGGCTCTCCTTGCGGGTTGGCTCTGAATCAGTCCGTCTGTACTTGAATGGATTCTCTCAAAGTATTACCAAGAACCAACCTCAATCAAAAAGCGACCGGAGCGCCTGCGCTGCTGCCAGTACTTTTGTTGACGCAGTTGCTGGCACGGTGCCTGCGACTGATGTTGCACTGATTGCTGTGCTTCCTTCCATCCATGCTTTACCTGCCTTGTGTGGCCGGACGTTTTGAATGGGAATGCTGTTAGCTTCTCATTGAATTCTGAGGAAAAGGCAGCCCGCGGCCAGTGCTGTCTCCTTCCCCTCGCTGGCGGGGGATGACACCTGGGTCGTGATAGAACCTGTGATTAGAAGCAGATTCTTGACAAGAAAGCATGAGGTACACATTGTCCATAAGAGTTCTTTTAAAGAGAGCCATGACCATTCCGACTTGAGAAGTTTTAAGGTTGCTTGGCCGCCGCTTCGATTCTGAACAAACTGCAAATCCTTCCGAGTTGTCCACCCTTCAGGGATCCTTCTTTTCAGGTGGCCAACAAACGAGAGAAAATGGGTGGTGAGAGCACGGATGAAAAGGCCATGCTCGCGCCAGGTGGGGAGTGTGCAGGTCGACCTGTCTCCCCATGCAAAGGAAATTCTGGATTTGGCGCCGGAGAAGCTGAAAGACAAGGACCGGAGTTGCGCCTGCGCTGTGATCGGAGTTCCTCGTCATTTGTTTCCTGCTTTACCCGTGTAAGACCCAGGTGCAGTCCCCCATTTTGCAACAAAATGGAGGGCACCAAAACAGGGAGCCTGCCATTCACGTTTTGGAGCCTGGACGCACGTGCTTTTTTACTCAGGACAAGAAGCTGTCCGGTCGCGGTTTGGTGAGGGACGTGGTCAAGGCTTCCCAGCTGCCAGCACTTCTCGCAGTCGCAGAGGCGCGCCGTAGACGAATGGCAGGGAAGGGAGATTTTCCACGAAGGATTTGGGCGGACGGATGTCTAAAGATGAGAGAAATCATGAAGGGCATCACGAATGGAAACAACAGATAGTAAGCACTGAAATGTGTGCATCAGCTGAGTGCTAAAGCATTGCACATGATTTTGCTCTAATGTTCTAGTATTTGGTGTCTGTTGAATCTTGTTGTTTCATCCAGCCGAACTACTGGGTTTTTTTGCATCTCCACGTGCCATGTCTGTGAAGGCCTGGGCAGAGCTGGCGAAGAAGGCTGCCAAGGCGGATGAAAAGCAGGCGGTCTTGTTCCTGTGCATCGCAGTCCCAGAAATGTGTCCGTGGTCGCCTCGGTATTCTCCACTCGTTGGACAAGGTCACAACCACAATGCTTTGGCACCAACTTGTCACCATTGGCCAACACGTCTCCAGCATTGCTCATGCGTTTGGGTGTTGGTGTGTTTGTGCGTTCATGTGTGTGTGTGATCGGTGTTGCTGTGTTTGTGTTTGTGTTTGTGCCTGTGCGCTTGTGTCTTTGCGTGCTTCAGCATGTGTATGTGTTCTTGTATGTGTGTTTGTGAATGGGTGGTTGTTTGTGTCTGTGCATGCGTTGCTGTTTGCGCGCACATTGGTGCATTTCTGAATGTGTGTAGTGTTTGTATTGTTTTGGCTTTGCTTGTGTGGCTCTGTGTGTGTTTGTGTCTGTAGTGTTTAGTTGTGCGGCTCTGTGTGTGTATGTGTTGTTTGTTGTGTGTGTGTGTGTGTTGTGTTGTGTTGTGTTGTGTTGTGTTGTGTTGTGTTGTGTTGTGTTGGTTTGTTTGTTGGTTGGTTGGTTTCTGTGTTTTTTTGTTTCTTTGTTTCTTTGTTGGTTTGTTTGCTTGCGTGTGTGTGTGTGGGTATTCTTTCTTTTTGTGTGTGTGAGTGTGCGTGTGTCATTGCTTCTGCTTGACAAGCGGCGGGTGCTGTTTTGAAGCGGCCACACTCGCCTCTCCAACCATACGGCAGCAAGAGATTGTTTGCAAGCTACGTTGCCTTGTGTTCCCAAGAAGTGTTTTCCACTTTTGCCCCAAAGCCTGTGAACACAATGTGTTCACAGGCTTTGGGGCAAAAGTTGAAAACACTTCTTTTACATGACATGTTGCAGTGGTGTTTGGAAAAGCAAAGATGTTGAACATTGCCTACCTCCTTCTGGTTTGGCATCGCGAAAGTTAGTACATTGCATGACATGTGTGTGTTTTGTTTGGGTAAGTATATGGCGTGTTCCTATGGTGGACATTCTTCCAGGAAGGCCTTTAGTCCTAGCACCCGCGAAAGCGGCACGCGTGCCATCCGCGGAAGGCCACGCTGCAGGCGCTTGCGGAGCAACTTGTCAAGTACGACTACTTGCTAAAAGGGGGATGTGTCAAATTCGCCTGAGGGTAGCATGTTACCATGGGGTACCCCCGCCCCCCCACAAAAAACTACAGATGGGGGGGGTCCTCTTGGCCGCCTTTTCAGCCAAACTGAAAAGGGTTATCCTCAAAGAGCACAAACCCAAACAGCAAGCTGACTGCATCTTTAGTAATCTTCTTGATTTCACAGGGGGACTAGCTGCTTGTTGACGCAAGGGATGTCTCAAGGGATACCTGATACCTTGATTAAGAACAGCAATGCCTTCCCAGAGGCAGGCATGTAACTTGCGGGTTGGTTTCAGAGGAAACGAGCTCTCACTCAAGTTATTTCATGTCTCATGTTTTGTTTTCCAGAGGATGCTTGGATGTATGGCACCCCCATTGCCTTGCATCCTGAGCCTGAGGCTCGCTGGCAACCTGCAGCCGGTGGAAGATGGGAGCGCTTTTGCTAAGCTCATTGCGTCCTGGCGGCATTTGGGCGTGCCCTTTTCTGGGGGTGGCCTGGTGGTTGCCATTCGAGTTGTGTTCTCAATCGGCCCGGTTAGTCAGGGATGTGGCAATTGGCTTTGTCCCAAATGGGGGGGGGGCCTTGATAGGGGTGGTGTTCGTTTGGCTTCAGCCTGAACGAACAGAAAGAGGGTACTAGCCTAGCAAAGAAGAATCGTCTTTTTGCTCTGACCTCACCTAGGGCTCTTCTCTATCCTCTTGACTTTCCAGGCACCAGTTGTCAAACACCTTGCGAAATTGGCTTCCTGCCCGCGGGGTTCCTACGGGGCCCAGGAAACACAGGGTCGAAGTCGACTTGGAAGAAGGACCTTGGAAAGACGCTGGCTCCTGTAAAGGTGGCCCAGGCGACAAGAGCTGGCCACCATTTGGAAGTTGTAGTTGCACACGTGTTGGTGCCCGCAAAGAGAAGCAAACTTTGCATTCTCAGGTGCGCCCCCAACGAGAGCGAATATTCATGAATGCTGTTACAGCATATTTCTGCTACTGCCAGGGGCCATTGCTGGTACAAACTGGTTGCACAGCAGTAGCTTGGTGGCCCAAGGACCCCAAGGGGCCGCTGGCCAAAGTGGCAGCGGAGGATGCGAATGAGGAGATTCTTGGCAGCAAGGCCAAGACCTCGGCCAGGTACGAGGTCAACGGGGGAGGGGGGGTTGGGACATGACAAGGCAGGTTGAACCAGAGCAAAACCACCCGACGGAAAACTTCAGGGTCAATCCCCCGCAAGGCCCGCTTTCGCAAGATTGCCCCTCAGGACTCGCTTCCTCGCATATCGCGCCCTGGGCGCCCTGGCATTACCTTTGCCCATGGCAGACCAGGATCAGGCAGGCTGGTCACCTCGCAGCTTGCGGGTGACATGGGGTTCTCTCAAGGTGTTCAAGGGCGCGAGAGGGTTCTCTTGATTCGCCAGCCGCCAACCATGTTTCTCCAAGGCTGACCGCTCCTTGTTTCCGGTTTCTTTGCGTGTGTGTGTGTGTGTGTTCTGTGTGTGTGTGGGTGTGTGTGTGGGTGTGGGTGTGGGTGTGGGTGTGTGGGTGTGTGGGTGTGTGTGTGTGTGTGTGTCTGTGTGTCTGTGTGTCTGTGTGTCTGTGTGTCTGTGTGTCTGTGTGTCTGTGTGTCTGTGTGTCTGTGTGTCTGTGTGTCTGTGTGTGTGTCTGTGTGTCTGTGTGTCTGTGTGTCTGTGTGTCTGTGTGTCTGTGTGTCTGTGTGTCTGTGTGTCTGCGTGTCTGTGTGTCTGTGTGTCTGTGTGTGTGTGTGCGTGTGTGCGTGTGTGCGTGTGTGCGTGTGTGCGTGTGCGCGTGTGTGTGCGTGTGCGCGTGTGCGTGTGCGCGTGCGTGTGCGTGTGCGTGTGTTTGTGTTTGTGTTTGTTTGTGTGTGTGTGCGCGCATGCATGCGCGATTGGAACGAATGTGTTTGGTGTTTTCCTGGCTTGTTCCCGGGCTGCAAAGAATCTAAATGTCTTTGCCGCCCAATTTTTCTAGGTTTGCAATTGTCTGAAAGCAAACATTCTGGAAAGAATGATCCGGAAGCTAGAGAAGGCCATGGATATTGAGAGGGCTAGAGAGCTAGCAGGATTGTTGAGAATCACTATCCAATGGTTGGCTAAGGATCCGCACTTTTCACCAACTCACTTGTGGGCTTTGGGCCCCTAACGGTTTCTGGTCGGCAAGTGCGCCAGGTGTGCCAAGAGCTCATGAAGCCCTTGGCAGACAAGAAGGCCCCAGACCGCGCGCGCCTTGCCGCTTTGACCGCCATGGCCCAGTTGGCGCGGCAGCGCCAAGGACTGACCCAAAAGCGGACAGATAGCGGACAGGTGTTGTTTGCTCCAAACAGCTACGAATTTGAATTTCGAAGCTCTCAACAGTGGTTGAAGTGTTCAAGTACCACCTTCCATAGGCGATCAAACGGAAGTGTTTTTATTGCGGATGTTTGATTTGAATTATTTGGATTTGGCGGGAACTCGGGCTCTTGAAACGTGCTGGTAGGATTAGACTGCTTTGAACAAGTAGACGTCTGTCGACTTGGCCAGGCACGCCGCGAAGCTGGACCAGCAGCTTCGTGGACAAGGCAATGGAATCACTTTCAAGCTGCTGGTTGCCAAGTACGATTTTGACCCTTTGGGCGGATAGGACGTAGGCCCACCAAAGGGGCATGCGTGGATGCACCTTGGGAAGAAGTCAGGCCTCGTGCGAAGGGAGTCCAGTGAATACATGTCCTCAAATTTGAGGGCATGGGCCAACGCCACACGAAAAAAGAACCCGAGTGAAACATGGTGGTAAGCTGGAGCCAGCTTAGCTTAGCACCATTGAAACCCAGTAAAGCAAGTCAGGCAAGTCAAGCCGTCAGTTTCGAGCATTCACCTTGGAGGGGTTATATGCGTTGTTACTTTTGGTGCTTAGGTTATGCATGAAAACTCGGGAAGGGGGCAACTGTAGTGATGCGCAGAGCATGTCGGGCTGTTCAATGCATATGGCTCTTGATGCCTTCAAGCAACAAAACACTGTGAGGCATGTAAAGGCTGGTTCTGCTGGGTTGTTCTGCTCGGCTCATGATTCAAAAGCAGCGGGGGCGATTTAAGCCTTTGGGCGAGCTTTGCTAAATTGTTCCTGCTGTATGGTCGTGTGAGACGTTCAAGGGCCCAACGTCAGTCCCAACACTGACAGCTAGCCTTTGAAGGGCACATGGAAATGTGTCAAGACCAGGCTCTGCAAAAGTGGTTAGTTCCGTCTTATGTCTTATACTGCTATTTTTTTGTGAGAACTTGGGCGGTGATTAGTAAAGGGGCCCCCCAGTCACCCCCAAACAATTTTGGGTCACCAGGCTAGCATCTAAAAGCAAATTTGGGTCAGGGTTAGGCCTACATCTCAATTGCTTTGCTTTGTGTTCTTCCAGTACTGCTTCATACTGTTTCAGAATTGTTGTAGTACTCGTTTCTTCAATGTTGCTTTGTGCTCGTACAGGAATTCTTGGGCGTCCACAAACACTTTTCTGCATTTCCTTCCCATATTTTCTTTTCAGGGGGGATGATTATGGGAACTTTTACGACATGCCTCCTCATTTACAAATTGCTATCCGACATTTAACACCATCCCGAAAGGAAGAATCAACAACCTGATTTGCAGACATGACACGATTTACATGGTCAAGTCAGGTGGAAGTTTTGAAGGTCTTGATGCTTACAAGGCAGTACATTGGCATACCTCCTGAACAAATAGCACTTGACTTACAACACCTCTATACCACACTTGAACACGCCCTTGATTTTGCAGTGGTGTGTTGCCTAAGGAAGATGCTTCGGATGGCTTCACATAGGACAATCCCTACTGGAGTGCAGTTTCAGATGGATTTTGGAGGTACCAATCCAAGCCAATGCCTTTTGACTCTATAACTTTGAAGCCCATACCTGACAATACTATGTGCGGGGTGTATCAGCAGGCGGCTGTTTTGGGGATGCAACCAAACGTAGCCCCAAAGAGGGCTCCACATCTTCACATCTTTGCAGGCAAATGAAAGCGACTTCCTTTGGGTGACGTTCGAACTAATCTGGGTGCATCCCGACAAGTCGGGGCTCCAAGTTTGTTACTTTTCCTTTGGCTGGCACCGAATTGGATTGTTCAACGATTCAGACTCCTTTTGCCAGTGGTTTCTCTTGTGCCCGGGATGTGTTTTGGACAACCCACGCAGGTTGGACGATTCCCCGCGCGCGTGTTTCAGGTGCTGCCATGGCTGACGGTGGCGGCCACCAAGCCAGTGCAGCGCCTGCAGAGTTTGCTGGGCTTCGCGGTGTGCGGGTCCCTGGCGCAGGCCGCGAAACCGTCGGGCCGTCGGGCCGTCACACCATGTCACACCTATGCGCAGCGCTACGCATGGAATCGCGGCTGTCGCAGCAAAGGTTCGCCAGTTGTTTTTGTTTTTTTTTCCCACTGCGGTGCGACTGTTGGAGCTGGAAGGTATCGAAGCAATACCGCCCTGGCACATTTCAGAACAAGACTCATGAAGTCAGCGCACTGGTGAAGCCCCAGGATGATTGCAGGTCATGCGTATTGTGGAACGACAAGGTCCAGCATTCATAGGGCTTCATCCATCCCAACTGGTGTCCATCGAGAGTGTCCACAGTATGGATTTTGGGGTGTGACACACTCATTGTTTGACGATAACATCATATCGTTCAGCATTTCGTTTTGGAGGCTTGTACCGTTCATACCTCCAAAATCCATACCTCCAGATGGGTTGTCAACAAATGAGGAACCCCCAAGTGCGGGCGGCTTCCTTTTGGGGTACCGGGTTTACCCTTAAAACACCCCCAAAAGAGCAATCTCAACGAAGCTTGGGCGTCCAATCTGAAGCGAGGAGAGCGAAGTCCTGGGCTCAAAGCTGAAGAAGGACCAGCTGTCCTTGATCAAGGACCGGGACATACCGGGACGCACGCCATCGCACGCCCATGGTGCCGCAGTGCCATGGTCAAAAGACCTGACGTGGCTAGAGATGGTCATGAAGCCCTCGATGGCGAACTTAGACAACAATGTAAAGGTTCCTATTAAGGAAGTCATCACGCATACAAGGAGATTTTACCGCACACAGGCATGTCTCACGCTTAACCGCTTTGGGATTCATGGAGTCGCCAGCCGCCCCTCCCCCCCGCCCAGGCCCCAGCCAGGCAGCGCAGTGAGTTGGGCTGGCCTGAGTCGGTATTCAAGCGGCATAGAGGCGGTATGAAAGCCTCAGTCAGCTGGCAGTGAGGGATTGGTTTCTATTTGGCTTGGCTACATCTTCAGTTCCATTGTGGCCGGCGATGTTGTGAGGACGGCGGGTCCTTTCTGAACGCCGTGCCGGTGATCTTGAAAGCGCCTCACGCTGAGCTTGCTGCTCAGGCCTGGCTTCCAAAGAGCCAATGTGAAGTTTTCCTTGCCAAGGCAGCAGAAAGGCCTTGGCCTTCCGATTTCAACCCCCCATTCAAGCCTGTACGTAGAGATTGATTTTGCAGGCAGCCTCATGTCCTGCGAAGAATTTTCTAGAGCCAGTTCGCACATGGCACATGTCGAATTCACATATCTCGGATGGGCCGAAGCATGCGGTGAATCATCGCTAGCTAGGTCTGAGTTTCCTAGGCCAACTGTGCTTTTGGAATGTAGACTAGAGAAAGCAGGTACGGTCAATCTCTCTCATTAGCATGGTTACCCACAAAAACTGATCAACCAGGGTCATTGGTTGTAAGCGGGCCGGGCTTCTGCACTGAAGGCGCAGTTTTGGGGAGCGCTGCTGGGCAACCACGTCCCCGGCAGCCCTTCAATGTTGGAGGCGGCCAAGGCGGTGCAATGGCTTCAGTTGCCCCCCAGCCCGCTGCTGGGAGAAGAACTGGCGCTTATGGAGTCGATTCCTTCCCATAGACTTCATAGTGTTGGATCCATGTGTCATTTCTGCGGGGAAGGCCATGCAGGCGTGGTTTTCTGCATAATATGGGAGCCAGGTAAGCTTGGTTGGTCGTGGTCAACCTTCATTGTCGTATTGTGTCGTGCCCGTTGCTGGCAAGCCAAGGTTTGTCGACTGCATGCCGGTGGCTCGCAGCGCCATTGTCCTACTGGCATGCCTCTTGGATCGGATGTCCACTAGTGTCTTGCTCGCTGACAGTTGCCGGTTGGAGGGCAGCCCTGCGATGGCCAATGTGTAATTATGATGTAAGCCTTCAACTTTGGCCAAAATGTGCAATGAGTCCCCTTGCTGTGTGACTTCATGCGACTTCAGGTCTGCATGCCTCGTCACCCGAGCGGGCAGTCAAGCCAGAGGAGAGCTCTCAAACTGTGGCCAGTTCCCAAAAATAATGTCTTCATCCGCGCTGTGGCCCAAAAAGACTGCGTACTTGGGGCTGGGGTGGAAATGGAGTTTGATGGTTTTTGGTTAAGGAAAGAACAATTAGGGTGATAAGACAACAACAAGGCTTCGCGCTGCAGAAACCGTGACATGGCAAGCAGACGTACACGTCGATTCACGGCCGCGGCAAGGATCAAAGTCCCATCAAGTGCCTGGGCTTGCTGGAGATTTTGCGCGAGGCCAAGGAGGGGTATGCCTCCAAGAAGCTCCTACAGCCGGGAGGTTGCACCGTGTTGCGTGAAGGCTTCTTCTTGTCAGGCCCAGGTCAATCCCAAAGGGTGTGATCCTCAGGAGGAAGACGCGGATGCCCTTCTGCTCCTTTTGGCGCAGGCGGGCTGCTTTCTTTTTGGTTTGAGCATCAAAGCTGGCAGCAGCGTGGGCCTCCTTGATCTCAGCTAGCATCTCGGAGACATTCCTGTGCGTGAAGCGGACCGCAACAGCGTTGATTGAAACGACGGGCACGTTTGATTGAAGGGTACTTCCCTTTGTCTGCTTTAGTTCAAGACAGCTTTTTTTGATTGCAATCCCATCTGAAGCGGCATTCCCCATGCCCTCCCTCAGGTTTTGTGTCACCAGTCGCCAGCGCAATGGATCCCTCGTGCAGTTGTACTCTAGACATCTGCTTTTGGAGGGTATGACAGTATGATGTCAAACGCTGACCTGTAGAGGAGATCTTTACCTTGAAAAACCGGGCTATGAAACGTCCGCAGCAGAAGAAGGTATTTGGAGGGGATGCTGAGGCCTTGGTTGCCTGGATGGCGGAGCAGGCGTCGGTGCCTGCGAAGAAACGCCAGGCCCACTCTTCGCCTGCATGGGTTTGGGGAAGAATTCGGCGACCGAATTGCTCCCCTGAAGGACATGGCATCCCACAATGAGAGGAGTGGATTCTGTTTGGGGGAGAAATTGTGGATTGCTCCTGGTAAGTGTCTTTTACCAGGGATCTTCCGGTGCTTCGTGTGACGAGGTCTAAGCCTACCACTTTCGGTGTGGCATGGCCGGCTGAGCGCAGAGACAAGAGCCAAGAGCCAAGCCCGTGATCAAACACAAAGCTCGCTATGGCCAAGTCGTAGACGGGTGTCATGAGGTGCCTTTGGTTCCAGAAGCGCCCACTTTGAAGGAAGCCTCTCATAGGCCATATCCCTAAAGCGTTTAATGAGCTGAGAAAGCAAGAAGCAGGGACCCAGGGACCGGGTGGGAGGGAAGGATTTGGGAAGTGAAAAACTCACCAGGAATCCAATCCATTTTCATTCATATTTCTCATGTCCAGTCCCCGCTGCTGCTTTGGTTGCCGTACCCCGGCAGCGCTTGTAATGATAGCCTAGAAATCTTCACCCTGAGAATGGAATTGGGGAGGTCGGGAACCCGACCCCTGTATTCCTTTCAATGCTCCCTTGTCCTTTTCCTGGCGCAAGTTTAAATTTGAATTTGGATGAAGCCCCCGCCCCGAATTCTCTTTAAGGTTGGGCATCGCCGACGGGCTTTCCAGATGTCCCATTCGCAGGTGAGCAGCTTTGCACTTCGCAAGACGCTGGTGGACCTGTGCACTGCAGCCGCGGTGAAATCCGTGCAGCCGGAGACGCTGTGCTTGTCGCCCGTGTCGCAAGAAGCCAATGCCTTCAGCTTTTCAAGCCCCGTTCGCTGGCGGAGTCATCTGCACTCGAAAGGGAAACCTGGGAACGCTTCGCTGAGTGCGATGCCATGCAAGGATGGCAGCGTCAACCATTGGTTGAAACTGACTAAGTCGCTTTTCGGGCCCAATTCAGATTTGGTTGCTTTTCCTTTGATCTTGTTTTGACTTTGTCATAATACCAAATCATGCCTCACCCAAACGCAGCCAGCGCTTGCTGCGTTTGGCTTGCATTTGAGGCTCTCCCTGGCTGCCCACCACCCGCTGCTGACCTCCCGGCGCTGGCCAGTCTTGAGACACTGGCGCTGGCTGCAGCGAGGGCCCTTGGGGGAGTGCTTCGACAAGGCCGTGCCACGAGTTGGGCCCACGGGTCGTCGGCAGTTTGTTGTCCCCTGGCTGAAGCAGTGGCTTCCAATTTTTGGAGGAAAGTCACGGCGGTGAAGGCTTGGTCGGACAAATGTCACGCAAACTGCAGCCAAGTTTACAAATTCGTATAGCAGAGTGTCAGCGGGCGGCGGACTGTTGTTTTCCAAGAACCCTTTGAGCACATCCCGCGGCTTAAAGGAGGAGGGCCCGGGGTTGCTGGAGGGTGCTAATATGTTTTCTTTGACGCCATTGGTTGGGTTTCGCTTCTCGGCAGGTGGGCGCGGGGCTTTGGGAACCGCTCCGTCGGCTGATTCTGGCCGGCCGCCTCTCGGAGAAGTGGAGCAGTCTTTGAGCTTCGTATGCGAGTTCTTTTTCCAGGTGAGATCAAGGCCTTGGTTGGGGCCTGCTTTGACCCCAGAACCGAGCTTTAAATCATGAATCTATTCTTGCACCCCACGGTTGGACCTTCCAACCATTTCCAAACCGGAAAGTGAAGCCTTCCTTGGACCAGAGGCTGGGGTTAGGACAAAAGTAAAAAAGTGGGGTTGGATTCTACTCTCCCGTGTCGCATTGGCTCGCTTGCTTCGCTCTGAGGTGAGCTGCCGGCCTCTGACATCACCGGCTGCCGCCGCGCGGCCGTGTCGGTGGCACGGGCTCTGACGGAGACCCAGGAAGTCACGCAACTGCTGCGGGCGATTCGGCCGATTGTTTGTTCTGGCTCGGGCTGGGTGGAAAAAGGGAGGACGTGGACCCAAAAAAAGAGGGTTGGTTAGATGAATCCTTTGGAGAAAGGGCAAGCATAATTCCGGAAAAGAAGGTCGCTGGTTGTATGAATAAGAGAAGTTCAAGGGGCACAGGACTCGAAAGAGATTTTGTTGCCAGAGAACTGGCATGCTTCGACATGAAGCGCGCCTTACAAGCCATCGATGCACGTTGCTGCCGGCAATTGCTGGCATGCTGTTTGACTGACCGCCAGCTCGCCGATGAGCTATGAGTTTCCAAAGGCAAAGTTTGCCATAGACCCTGTCAATTTGTCAGCCCTGATGGGAGGCTGCAGTGCGAACCAAGAGCCAAAGTTTCAAAACTGCCAAATGCCAGAAGAGCAGAACAAACCACTATCAGATCTACCAGGGTGAAAGATTGGACGGCTAATGCAACCCGCCGCTGCCGGCTGGCAGCGCGAAACCGCACCCCTCGGCTCTCAATTCCGGAGGAAGACCTACACTTTGCTCAATCACGACTTGAGTCGTTGCTTCGGGTCGGTGCCACTCCACGCTTGTTGGCTTTGGGTTTCCTCTTTTGACCTTTTGATGATTTGATGGCTTGGTCCAATGGATTATTCTGTTTCTGGCCTGCAAAGTGTGCACCAGGATCCTTGAGCTTCTCCAGACTGGTCGGGCTCTTGATTATGGTCTGTCGCTATAGGCTTGTTGCTAAGCAACTCTGCCGGGAGTTTGAGCTCCTTGCCCGACTCCGCAAGAATTCGTAAGAAGCCTTGCAAGGGATACGAAGGGGAGTCGTCATGCTCTAGCCCCCACATGCCTCATTGACTTGCTCTTGCAACACAAGCGGATCTGGCCACCTCACCTCCCACCAACCAATGAGTCATGATCCGACCCTTTCCAAGATCCCAAGCCCCAAACAGAGCCCTCATTGGCACTCAGGATTGCATCAGCGCTTTGCCCAGTGATCAGGCTGCTTGGCGAGAGTTCACATGTTCGCCCCGCCACCCGTTCAAACAGAGGTTGCAGCAGAAAAGCAGGAGGACGGGTGCAGAGAATGTGAGGCAAAGTGCTGCGCAAGCAAGTTCTCATTTGCCAGGCCAGTATGTCAGTACAAAGGTGCAAACACACAGACACAAGTGTGTAAAGTCGCATGGCCGCTGCCAAGTTCTCTCCCCGCTCTCTTTCTGTCTCTCTCTCTCTCTCTCTCTCTCCCTCTCTCTTCTCTCTTTTTTTTCATTCTTTCTCATACACTTCCTTCCGCGCATGCACGCGCCACGCGCCATGAACACGCCTGCTTGCCCGCCCAATTGCCCGCCCAATTGCCCGCCACAGAAACAGCCCCCACGGAATGCGAGCGCACGCAGGACGTCAAAGTCTTCTTCGCGCCCGAGGGGCTTCTTTGGATTGAAGAGGGCGTCTATGTGGCGGAGGAGAGGGAAAATAAGAACATCTCCTCCAAGAATAAGTACCTGCAGGACAGGTTGCTTCAGTTTGCATGTATTGTTGGTTAAGTTTTGTCATGCTTTGTCCTCCCTTCGCCAGGGTATGGACGACGACGACGTCAAGGAGACGCTCCCGGCGTCCCGCATGAAGTTTGCCCCGCTGGACCGCGACAAGGCGCTATGCTCAGAGATGAAGGTCCTGGACTTGAGGTTGTGTTTTTGTTCTTGTCGTTTGTTTTTGTCTGTTTGTGTGTGTTTTTTTGGGGGGGGTGTCGCTGATTTTGACACAAACCCAGCTGAGTTGTGGACGTTGGCCAGACCACACAGGAAGTGTCAGGTGGGGGGTGTTCTCGTGAGGACAAGGAGAAGGTCAAAGCCAAGGCCGGAGCTGACAAGCATTGCACGGTGCCCCCACGTTTTCAGAGCAAAACAAGGGGCACAGAACATTCGAATTGGTGCATCCGGGAGAGTTGCCTCTTGGGCGTGCCCTTGACCAAGGACCCAAAGGCTAAGGCCAAGGCAAAGGCTGCTGCGGGCGAGAAGGGCGCCCCTTGGCCGAATGGAATCGATTTGGGTGGCCCATGCTTGGTCAATGTGCGGAACAAGAGGAAATCAAAGGTGAAGGCAGGTGGTGGGGCATAGCTTGAACCCCACGCCTGCTGGGAATGGCTCAAAACGAATGTGGGACCTTTTCAAAAGGGTGCTTCTTCTTCAGACCAAGGAAAGGCCTCAGCTTTTGGCGCCCTAGAGCATTTGCTACCGTGGAAATCCTTGGGCTCCCAAGCCCTGAGCCAACCGCAAACCCACCTTCTTCCAACCCGAAGCCAACTCTTCACCAACCAGTATACAGCCCCTCTACTGCAGAGATCTTTGGCAACAGCTCGAGGCAATGACGCAGGGCCAAATCGAAGAGGCCAAGATCCAGGAGCAGTCCGAGACCCGCGCGCGTATCCGCTGCGCCTCCGGCTGGTGATACATATTGGTTTCCATGTTTGGCGGGTTGGCTCGAGTGGTCCAACGTGAATCGGCCTTTTTGGTTTCCTAGCTTCGATCCCTTTTGGTTCCTTTTGGTCTCCTTTTAGCTTCCAATTCATGTTTCTTTGGTTTCAACCAGTTTTGGCAGTTCTTTGGCATTTGTTTCTGATGTCAACCATGTTTTGCGATGCCTTTGTTTTGTCGTAGCATCCCCACGAAAAACGGTCTTGTATCTCTTCTGGGGCTTGGACAAAGTTTGTATCTCTGCTTTCGAACGTTGAGCTGATCACTTGCGTGGTCTCTGGGCTTCCCTTGGCCACCATTGGAGGTGAGCGAATGCCACAAAGCTCTTGTCTGTATGCCTCTCCACTTTCAGTTTTGAAGGCAACTCTGCGTCGTCTTGTCCCGCGTGGCAGGTTACGTGGATCAAGGCAGCTTCGTGATGGACGTGTGCCGTGATTGCACTTCAAATGCCGGTGGCACTTGGCGATCCATCAAGTTTCAAGAGGTTGCTGCTTGAAGGATTTGAGTTGCCCACCGCCGACTGTGTGAGCTTTTAAATGAGGAACCGCGCTCATGAGTCCTTTGGTGTTTTGAGCTCAGGATGGCCACCCTTGCTCAGAATAAGGGCCATAAAGAGGCGGGCGTGATCATTGTGCCACACATGTCTGCACATCCCTGGGGACAAGTCTGAGTTACGCATTGCAGCCCAACAGCTTGGACATGACATGTCGAAACCATGACCTCACATGAGCGAAAACTGGGTAATCAAAATGTCCTGCGTAGGGGGCGGGGGGGGGGGGGGGGTTGGGAGAGTTTCGAGCAGGTTCTGAGGAGCTTCTGGGAATGGAATTTGGCCACGGCTGCTCTGGATACTCTTTGGGATTTGTCTTTTGGTGGCGTATGCGTCTTACATGCGTGTGCTCATCAGGCCGCTGGCGTGTTGCATTAAATGGAGCTCGGGGTTACCACCAATCCAAAGTATGGAGCTCGGGGTAAACATGGAACCCCAAAAACCGAGCAGTCTCCTTTTGGGGGTACCCCTTTTCGGTTGCATCTTGATTGGTGGAGGAAGGGGTGGAAGCAACGCCGCATCTCGGGAATGGCACGTTTGCTCAGTTTGTCGCCAGGCCTTTGATGAGATCATGCCGCAGCTGGTGCCTGTCTTCCTGAAGCTTTTGCAGTCCCCGCTTTCCGTTTTGCCACTAGGCATGTGTGTGTGTGTGCGTGTGGGTGGGTGAACGCGCGCGTGTGTTTTGAGGGTATCTTCTCACCCATGCTCATGTGGGTGTTTTCTCACCAAATTCACTTGTTTGCACCCTTGCTGGTTGATCTAAATACATACGTGAATTTGTGTATATCACTTTCGTGTTGACGAACAAAAGCTGTATTTGCTGCTAGGCGTCTTGGTTCGGTCAAGGGTTGGTCTACCAATTTGAGGTTCGCCCGGTCAGGCCCAGGCTGATATTCTTTCACTTGCCAGCCGTATGCAATCTGACAAATTCGGTCTTGTTTTTGCTGGTGCATTTTCTAGAACTTCACTGGACTGGTGGTGGGCAACCTAGAGAAAGGCCACACGCTTGCCACATGCGGCGCTCAGGAAGGCCCGTCAGTGCCTCCGGAGCCTTGTCCTGCTGGTGGTGCCGCCTACCAGCATCTCCAGGCATTGCCGGGTGAGCAACACTGGGGCTGGCTCATAGGCATGGGTTGAGCCGCATCCAGCGGTCCTTTGCGGCTTGAAGCTAACTGGGGAGGCAAAGGGAAGGGCACTTGATGAACATGATAAAAGCTTGATGAGTTCTGGCCTTGGACAGAAATCAACAATTGGATTCCAGTCATTTAAGCCTCATGTACAGCTCAAGGTATGATGCTTGTTGGTACCCACGTTATTTGCCACAAGCACGGGTATTGCACAAAGTTGCCCCTACATCCTGAACTCTGAATCCCTCCAAACAAGCATGCACGCCGAACAATCTGATCAATTCCGCAAATCCTATAAGAAGAGATGGTGGCAAGTTCCATGCATAGGAATGATGCTTTGCTTTCATGAGTCGTTCCAAATCCATCCTCTTGTTCCTGCTAAGCTTCCGTGGCAGCCAGGATGTGAACTCGAAATGGCCGCACAATAAAAGTAGGAAGACCTTCCCAGGCATAACCAGAAACAGCGTCTCAGATGCACCCATACCCCCAGATCCAGACAGTAAGCGGAAAATAGTGTGCTTTCGAGTGAAGGAGCCTGGAAAGAAAGGGGAAGATACCTCCAAGGTAAGCTGGCGAATGCTTACTTGCGAGGGTCTCGTTTTTTATTTGCTTCCCATTCTTGGCCCAAATCACAGGCATTCCATGAGAAGGGCCTTGGCCCATCAGGCAAGATTTGCTGGCTGACGCGCTCACGGTGGTGGCCAAGCATTGGCTCAGCCGGAGCCCCGCCGCAGCAGGGACAGCTGGAGAGGAGCGCGTGTGCGAGGCGCGTCCCTGAGTTCACACCTCAGGTAACCCTGAATTGGTGCTTGGATCGGTGGCTAGGGGTTTGCACAGTTTGCACCCCTGATTCTTGCAGAAGGCACATCGTAACCTCACCACGAATCCAAACCAAGAGGCCAATCGGGTTCGAATAGCCGGGGCCCTATTGCCTGCAAGGATAGTCATGTGTGCAGCATCAGAAAGGCCTCGTTTTAGGGTCACCTGCTAATACTTGCCCTTGGATTTGGTGAAATGGAATTGAACTGTAGGGAATCCTGAAGTGGTTGGTGGGCATCCTTCCTTTGAGCTGTTCCAAATTGCCAAAACAACTCCTCGATCACTATGCCGGAGGATTCCTTTGTTGCATTCCGATGGGTTGATTAGAATTGGGGGTTGAAGAACCCAGTTTCGCTGGATGTTGAGCCATGTAAAAAGAAGGAACCCTAAACAGAAGGGGGAGGGGCGCAGCCAAACATGTAAATGGTGTGCCAAACTAGAATTGCCTAAATGCAGTCGTCAGGTGGTGCTGGAGGGCGTAGATACGCACACAGCGCTTAGCGGCTCGACGCTGGCCCTGGCATCTTGACAAAGCGGATGAGAAAGGATGGAGGTGAACCTTGAGATTTTACCTGGATTCCTCAAAGTGGGTTCTCCAAATTACTTTTTATGTGTGGCGGGGGGGGGGCCTTTAAACCACAATTCTGACTATGATGACAGGTTTGGGTTGTAATGGACATGTTCCTCTTTGCTTTGCGCGTTGTTTGTTCAACACTGCACGAAAAGCAAGGTTTCAACCAGGGTTCGGCAACATTTGGTGAATACCATCCTCCCGGCCCAGGTGCTGCCCATTATCTTGCGCTCGCTCTTCGACAGCAGCTCCCAGTTGCAGGCCAGCTGAGGTCTGGTCAAATTGATGGCAGCCTGTGGTTTATTTGGGAGAGACACGGGGGCTCACTTTGAATGTTCACAAAAATCCAGGGGGCCCACTAACTTCCCGCTGTCTGAATTGGTGATGTTTTTGTGCCGGCCGCCCCGTCCCAACACTCCAGTTTTTCCGCCTCAGATTGACCAATGGAGAGGGGTATTTTGAGGACTTGAACCCAATTGCCCAACACTGTCATATTCTTGGTCGACTGCCTTTCCTTGGTTGCCTGCCTCCCTTTTGTGAATGCTATAGCTGACTAGCAAGAAAGGCGCTGTGGCTTCGCTTTGAACAGCCAAGCCAGGACTTGTGCACAAAGGCGCTGCACTTGCTGGAGAGGCAGCTGGAGCTTGGAATAAAGGCGAGGTTTTGACGTTCGACAGACCAAGCGCATGTCCACCTCACTAAGATTTTTGTGTATTTGTTTGGGGGGAAGGGTACGTGGGGGGTTTCATTCCTACCCCTGACATTCACCCTGCGTCTTACAATCGCGACCAGGCCAAAACCAAGCCAGAGTTCAGCATTATAATGCACCCTCAATGATTTGCCCCCAACAGCATCTTCATCGTTGCTGGGATTCTCCCTTGGTAGGGTGATGGTTCACATTGACAAGCATCCTAGTCTCGAAGCTGAGCCTTGACCAGGCTTTACTGGAAAAATCAAAAGGAGGCCAATCGGAACCTAAAAACAGTACAGGGCATCCTCGCCACTCCAAAACAAGCTCCATCTTTGCCAACTCATGATGGTTCCCACCCTTCCAGCCACTAAAATGTTCAGTAAACTCGAACCTGACAGAAGGCAGGCCACATTAGTTGCCCAGTTGGCAGATGTTGCAGGTTCTCTTCAGATGAGCCCCATAAAACAGGTTCCAATGAACAGGTTCCTGCTTTCAAAGGAGAATGTGCATCCGAAAGGAGCCGCTGGATTTCGGACAGATTGGCAGGTCTCGGAGGAGACGGCCATGGAGGTCTTGGACTCCTTGAGCGTGGTGCTTTTGGCGCTGCCCGGGATGGCGACCAGCAGCCAGGAGAGGGGATATCAGAGGTTAGTTCGGGCCGGCCGTTCTGAAGGGATCATACCGCAAGGAATTAACTTGGTATTGAGGATGGTCATGGATGGTTTATCGTTTGAGGGGATGCTTAGCACTCGTTTAGAAATTGTGGAGACAAATCAAAGGATTCCCTTTGAGGAAACACACAATGACCTTCGCACGAGTTTTTTTGGCCATGAAGGCCACAATCTCTGCGGCCAGCAAGTACATGATCTCCTCCACGGAGCAGCTGGCAAAGCTGGCCGAAATGAGCCCAGGCAGCATTCCCATTTGCAAGGCTCATGTGTGGAACATCGGGAAGCCCATTTGTTACCCGAGGCTAGCAAGCACCCAGCAACAGCAACACAGGATCATGGCATAATCTGGGGCCTTAGAAAGTTGCGTTGACCATGTTGCAGTCATTTGCCCAAATGTCCGCCACGGGTCTCAGGGAGGTTTGGTTGGACTGCCTCCAAAGATAAGCTTGGGGACTATGATCACTGGCCGGCAAACTTATTTTCGGCCAGATGCAAATGATGCTGAGGTTTTTTTCAGATGAAGACTTGATGCGCTCGACCGTGATTTCTGCACTGGCAGCCCTTGTGGAGAACCAGTATGTGCAGGACGACATGAATTTGCAATCACATGATCTCTCGATGGCGCAAGTGGCCGCATTTGTGATTCAATGCTTAGGGCCTAGGGTGCATTGTCATGCGCACGTGGCTTTCAGGCTCAAACTTGGAACGAACCCTAACATGTCGCTTCCACATGTACCTCTGACATTCGTGCCATTCACCTGAACCATCCATGTCATTGAGGCTGTCAATGTTTCAATGGGGCAATCAAGACGTGTTAATGGCCCTATGGACCCTATCAGCGCCACCTTGCCACCTGCACATGAGAAACCAGATCATACCTTCAAGCATGGCATGCAGAGCTAGCCCTTCTTTGTTAGCACAACGAGTGAGACGGAAAGAGAGAGGGAGAGAGAGCTGCTCCAACCAAACAGATTCGAGCGCATCCAGCTTGGCCTCATGTGGCACACGCGCCGCTGGGCTGCCTTGGCAAATTTGCGCCACCTCACGCCGCGCCGCTGCATTGAGGGATATCCAGGGTCTCGGGGCGCTTGCGCTGCTTGATGATGGATTGCCCTCAATGGGGTTGGTCAACATCAAACCTAGTGCTGATGCTTGTGCCATTAAATTCGCCCTGGTGTCGGGGTGTCCCACTACAGAACACAATAGTGAGGTAGCTGCACAATCTCGTGCCATGCTAGATCGGTTTCCTGTCGAGGGCAGCTCCTGAGGTAGATGATGTAGCGGACATGTTGCCTCCCCCATTGTCGCCAAGCAAAAAACATTCTTCAAACGTCATTGATCATCATTGACAAACCACCTTTGATGCGAGGTTCGCATGATAGGCTGATGTTTTGTGACATGTCATGCACAAGTGGCAGGCCACAGAATATTGTACCTCTGATTCTCACGACCGTGTCCCGTGACTTCGGTTGTCTAATAAGGGGTCAATGGTTTGATGGTCCTAACCAGTGTGTTGAAGCATGCTGTAGCCAACGGACGGGAAAACCGCACCCTGGCTCCGAGCTGATTTCGAGGCAGCCCCGTGCCCCGCGCGCACTGCTCTCGACGCAGGCCTGTCAAATGGATCGCATGTGTGCCCTCTCGACTACGATTTCTTATGCCAGCTGGGCTATGGGCTCAGGGTTTGTAGATAGTCTCGCAAAGTTAGAGCACTGTAGGGGGGTCTGGGGCCAGTGCACTTCCATTGAGTGGCTGTCGCATGAGGTTCGGTCAAACTTACATAGTAACTAGTTGTGTGGGGGCTCACAAATTGTCCGCTTTTTCCTATGTCGTCAAGGAAAATTCGTAATTTGAGACCACTGCAATGGCCGGCAGGTGCAGACCACCCCGGAGCAGCTGCCACAGGCGGCCAGCCTGGGTGAGCTCTCGGAGCGCAGCTCGGCTCCGTTCACTTTAGGTTGTTTGAGGCTCAGGTTCACATGGAATCCAAACCGCCCCTTTGTAGAGGAAGCTCATGTTGCAATACCGTTTTGAGGTGTCCACTTTTCGTGCTCCAGTCTTAGACATTTCCCGCCCGCCCCTATTGCAGCTAGTCTCACAGCTGTGCGAGTGCCCTAAGCTATGCCACAAGTGCAATCCCTCACCGCTTGCGTGCGGGGTATCTTAAACCAGGGGGGTTCTAGCAGAGACTATCTTTTGTCAACCTCCGGCAGGGATGTCAATTAGAATGGTGGCGTTTGCGTTTTTGAGACCACGGAGCTTTGGAAGTAGTTTGTCAAGCTGGTTTAAACATCACACATCAAGGTGTTTGCCAATGCTGCTTGAATTTCCCGTTGGTCACAAGGAGCTGGCAGTTATTATGTCAGGAGCTTCATTGAATTGCCACCCTCCTAGCCACTCCGTTTAGGGGAGTGAACACGTTTTGGAATTTTGTTTGTATGCTACACCCTTTTAAGTTCTGCTTCAAACGAGCGCAGTATTGCTGTTTTCCTGTCTGCCTTCTTCTTGGCTGTCTCCCTGCAGGAGGCCCTTCAATGGATGGCCCAAAACATATTTTTGCATGGGCAACGTTGTCCTCTGAACAGGGGGCCTGAGCACTTCCATGCTCAGTGAGTTTAAGGAAACCTGGCTCTAGGAACAAGAAGATACCCACTCCCAAAACACTCCAAGAACAGCAGTGTCTACAAGGTAAATACCCCATGCTTGCTGCTCAGTTTGAACCCATTCTCCCTTGGGTGCTGGTCGAGACCAGCTGGGAGAGGTGCCGGCTTCCTGCCGCGGCCGCCCCCGCCCGAGCAGGACCCTAAGCCAGGCTTCCGAGGCGTGTGGCCCAAAAACCTGCGGGCGGTGACGACTCGGGACCCCTCCAAACCCAGCACCCCAACACCCCAGCCGCATTTCCTTAGTTTGTTCTTTTTACCTTGAAAACCCAGTCTCCTTTGGCGGATGCATACAGAAGAGTTTGGCATGCGCACTCTGCTGAAGACCAACATGTGAGTTTGACGTGTCTACGGATTGTGAAGCTTGAGCTGGAGAAGTCGGGCAGGATTTGGCTGCAAGTCGGGGAATGGCAGCTTCACATAAAGGTATAAGGCCAACAGGGTGGGACAACTCTGGTTTTCGTTGAGACGTCCCACATTCAAAGAGAGGCTGGTGCAGGTGGTAAAGCGCTCTTCGTGTTCTTCCTGTTCAATGCCATCCCCTTCTCTGCACTGATCTACTACCTCAGGCACCTGCCTTAGCAGGTGGTTGGGACTCTATGGGCGCAGCATGATGCAGCCTTTTGGCATGAACTTGCAAGCATGGGGCTTTCGAGGTTTTAATGATGTCATTCATCGGCTGGCTCATCGCATTCGTACCCCTTTTGCAGGACTTGACGGGAAAACCCGATTACTCTGAATGGTGATGCATCCCCGCTACCATTTGAGCAGCGCCCTGCGCAAAGCTTCACTGCCATGTTGGCAGAACCACCTGTCAACGGTTCGGGGCGCTCACTGCCGCTCCACCCAAGGCGATGGGTGGGGGTTCCATCCTTGCTCCCCTGATGCGAAGTCCTTGATGACCATTGACCCTGCCAGGGTTCCATGATGGATCTCGGGGACACATTACCTGCCGCAAAGTAACATCGGAAGCAGACAAATAGCAATGTTGTTTGGGCCTGCGTAGTTTACTCGGGGCAGCCATTGCTCGCTGCTCCCAATTTACGGGCACTTATGACAATCATCATGATCATTGTAACAAGAATAATGGAGAACACCCTGAAGCATGGTTGGTGGGCACACCAAAGGAGCTCCCAATTGAAACACAACACCATGAACAGAATCCACAAACATCAACAATTCTTCAGCCTGAGAGCAACATCAAATTTCCTAACCGAAAGTCTGCAGGTTGATCTCAGAAGGGCCTCACCAAAGTAAAAGCACAGCTTGCTAAGGCACGCCCTTCCGAACCCAGAACAACTTCCGTGCTCTCACGCAGGGAAAGAACAGGTGGAAAAAACATATGCGTTTCTGTTGGCCAAGCTTCTACAAACGGCCCGCAGAGACCATCAAACATGTTGCTGGTGCTTCTCCATTCCCACTAGGCAGCCGCAAATCCCAATCGTACACAAGACAAGCCAATTGCACACTCAAAATCAAACTCAGACCATCAAAAGGAGACTCAAACAAGTTATGGCCAAAGGCCCTGGTGGAAGGTCTTGTCCACTCCCTCCCAAAAGAGTCAAAACCTCGGGTGTCAGAAAAGCTCGCTGCCTTCAGGGAGCAGCGGGCCCAGCGCACGGAGCTGGCGCTGCTGAGCCTACCGGAGCTGCCGCAGGACGTGGCGGCGGAGGTGCTGCGGGCCGCCTGGCAGATGGCGAATTTCGGCTCCACAAAACGAATTCACCCAGTTTGGGTTCGTGTGATGGCTGCTTTGGTTGACACCCTTTTCTCATGTCCCTAATTGGTTGGACCGGTGGTTTGGGGATTTGAGCCCCGATTTGAACCCTGGCGTTTGTAGAGGTAAATGGGAAACCACCCCTTAACCACCAAGTCACAAATCCAAACCACCAACAATGGGCAGTGTGATATGCAGGGGATGAGGTGTTGTTGCTTGTTGTTTTTCCCCTGAAAATCAAGCTGTTCAGGACGGCACGGGAAAGCCAAAAGGAAGCCCGCTGGTTCAAACGTTTTCACAAAGGGTTGGCAAAACCTTGGTATTTTATCCAATTGTGTGGGCGTTTGCACGCCTGTGGGGCACTGAGGCCATCCGCACGTCTGCCATTTGCTTCCTGCTGGATGAGGCGGCTTGCACCGAGCCGGCGAGCCGAAAGCCTGTGGCCACGTTCAAGTGCACTGAACTGAGCAAATTTGGTTTGACTTATTGTTCAATGATCCCTCGCGAACAGCCGGTCGATGGGACGTTGGACCGCAGGCCGGCAGCGTGCTCCGAGTGGACCCGCACCCTCCCGAGGCTTCGGCCTACGTGCCCCCCACGGCCGCTCGGTGGTGGATTTGAACCACCACATGGGCCCACAAGTAAGGACCCTGCCTAGGGATGAAGTCAGCTTGACGCACAGGCCGGTTTGTTTCATGCTATTCGAAGCCGGCTCTTGGATTTTGATCAAGCCGCTTCACTAATGTGATGATAAATTCAGCAAGACCGACATGTGGAGCAGTTGCGAAGGCATCCATTTTCAGGGGTTGGTTCGACTACACCAGATTGAATTGTAATTGGCAGGTCTGATTTTTGGGCCCTCGTCCTCACCGAGCGAACCCCCGCTTCGGCTCAGCTCAGGGGCCGTTGCCACTGGTCCCGCAGCTGGAGAGGAACTTTTTGACGGCAAGAGCCTCAGGTCTTTCTCAACCGCGCGAATTCAAGTTGGGCGGTAAGTAGGAAGCCATGGAAGCCTATGGAATGGGCCGCGCGAAGAATCAGATCCGACATCATTAAATGGAAGGCAATCATACATTTTCAGTTGTGGATGGTAAACTGTGATCCTCACTCGGCCTGACAGTTTCCGAGATTTGGTCCAAGTCTAGCTTGTCCACTATATCTCGGGAGGGCGTTTGATTGGCAACTTGCCTCGTAAAGTTTCACCAGCGCTCTAGAATCCGGTGGTCACCCTGGCTATCATCAACTTGATGCCGGTTCAGCTTTGGCGTCAAGCCCCAGAGCCATTTCCGGTCCCCAAAGAAGAAGTCCCGCCCAGACATCAGCAAAAACAGCTGGGCTTTCTTTCCTTGTAGCTTCGCTTTTCAACTCCCAAAAGACACCGTACCCTCCCGCCTGCCAAATGGTCCCACAAGAAAAGCCCAACTGGTTAACGTCGTTTCCTTCAAGGCCAACAAACATATTGCAGTTTCTCGCAACAAATGCTTCTCTCACGTGTATACCGACTAAGAAACGGGGCTCGCTCCCGCACCAAACAGGTGGTAAACAAGTTTTCCCTCACAAAGAGTGGATTTCCCAGGCCCGAAAAAGGGGCTCCTCGTTTCCCCCCCCATCATATAACATCCACTCTTGGGAGGACTTGCTGGAAAACCCCGCGGTGCCGGGCCTCGGTTTCGTGCACTTCGCGGTGGCCAAAGCCTCCCCCGAGGGCCAAGCCGTGGCCGCGGGGCGCAGGACCAAAGCCGTGGGGGAGCGAGCTAACCGAAGAACAAATCCTTTTGTTCTCGCATTTTTTTGAGCAAACACAAATATTATGTTTGAGGATTTGTCCCAACTCCAAACTTTTTGCACACGCGGGACTTGGGGGGGGGGGGGGGGAAAATCAGTCGGCTGGGGCTGGAGGGCCTAAATAGTTGGAACACGGAAAAAGGGTTGTGGGGTACTATCAAACCAAATTGCCTCATGATCATGGAGGAACAATCTTGGGATATTCAAAGCATGGCTTCATGGTTTGTGGCTGTTAAGACTGATCGTGACTGCTTTGTGCGGGCATCTGCTTCAAAGACAAAACGGGTGCTGTTTTCAGGTTTCGGGTTGTTGAATCCGGGCTGTCCATGTCCTGGCTTTGTCCCTCACTATGTGAAGCGGAGAAGTGACCAAGCCTTTTGCATTCGGGCATGTGCTTTCTTCTCCCTCGTAGAGTGAGCACGGAATTCCAAATTCCAAGAACTTCCCAGGACTTTGCTTTCTTGCTTGCCGATGCCAATTTGATGCAGGAAGGCTGGGCTCCTGTACGTCTCCCACTCGCGGGCCGCCTATTGCAAGGTGACTGGCCAGCTGCGGCCTTGGAGGTCTGGGGTGTGGTGCCGTACGTGAGAGGGAACTCCGGAGCGAGGCTGTCCAGTGTGTTCGCCCAGGCTCAGCATCCTGTCTGACCCAGACTCGCGAAGACGAAGCTTAGCAGCATTGGTTGCAGGCTCAAAGAGCTTCGCTCAAGGGGATTGAGTGATTGACTTGCAGAGCTAGTCGAGCATCAATCAACGTTTGCCGCTTGTTGAAGTGGCTCAAGGTGGCGGGAGTTTCAAGTGGCTCCTTCTTTTTGTTTGCAATTTGATTGGATGCTTGTTCGAGTCCTCAAGTTGACTCCTTCTTCCAGTTTGCGCAGAATACTGTTTCTTTTTTGCCAGCCTCCCGCTGAGGATATTGGAAGTCCTCGTGGGGCTACTGCTTCGCTGCGCCCGCCAAATCCAAAGACGAGGATGAGAGAGAGAATCGCAGGCCCTGAAAGAAGTGACCCCCCTGCTTGTAGATTTATCGTTGTTCCCATTTCTCCCCGTTTGGGGGGACTGGACACTAGACAATTGAGCTGGAAGAACCCCCACTCCCGCCCGTTTACAAACAAGAGGGAAGCCGCAAGTTGAGCGTCCTTTGTTCCACCAGACATTTGGGAGGGGCACCGCTGAAGCAGAGGTCGAAGTTCTTATGGCTCGGTGAAGGCGCCCACAGATTGCCACTGCTAGGAGCCTGAGCCGTGGCAAAGCGAGGACTACTTGCTGCTTCGGCTGGCCATTGACCAGGCCTGGCTGCAAGAAGAAGCCATCCTTAGCCAGCCGAACCTTGCTTGCGGCGCATTGTGCTTCCCATGATGCTTGCAATGGTGGGGGCTCAGCCCTGGATTCCTTTCTGGAATCATCCCAGAATCGACTATCAAGGAGGAGGTCCTCTGAATCAGCTCAAAGTGACTTGCAAGTTTGCCAGAAGGGTCTAATAACTTGAAATTGTCACGCATGAGACCTACGTGTAACCCACCGAGCCTCACCAAGAGGCCCCGGCAAGGCCTCGTTGCAGTCGGTGGTGGACAGCTCACAGCGCTGGCAGTCTCGGCACGTGCGGCGCGTGGCCGGGAAGGAAGGCCCAAGCTGGGAGGCGCGGCCTCCCTATTGGTGGCTTCAAAAAGCCAAAAAAAACACTTTTACATAAATTTATATATTTTTACTCCTAAGTTGAAGGTTAGCTTCCTTTTGGTGAGGCGCTGTTAGGGGAAAAGCAGGGTGCTTTGGGGGCCCTGAAGCGAGAGGCAAAATTGAACCCTTCTATCCAAGGTTCAACAGGAAGCTTTCCTTTGGGGGGCAATTGGTTCCCTCCCTGACCTAAGGCACTTTTCAACCATTGCCTGGAGCGATGCGATAAATGTGTGACCATGTGTAAAAGGCGCCCTCGGCTTCCGGAACTGTTGCCAATTTAGAGGCTATATGCAGGCAAGCCCAACACCATGTTCGATTGGAAATGATTTGGTTGTGCAAGGATGCTCAGGCAAAGCAAATGGGAAGGTGTAGACAGCACTTCCAAGGCGGACCTTGAACCTTGGCTCCAACTACCATATTTGGAACTTGTGCCATGTGGCAGAAAGATGCCAGATGTTCCCTTGGCACCCATTTTTTGTCTTTTGATTTCGCATCGGACCTTTGACTCCAAGCGGAGGCGGTGAGATCCTGACGCCGGGTTTTGAGAACGCGAATGGCGCCGGGAAAAGCGGGGCACATCTCATGGCGTGGTTTGCAGGGCAGTTTCGGTGGCGTTGTATGCCTCCGCGCATGGAAGCACTGATGCATATGGATCACGAGAGAGTTCATAGCTGCAACTTTGCTTATCAGAGAAAGTTCTGCTCTTGATGCTAGCAGGTCATGCATTTCATGGCGTTCCTTTGGTTAGATTAATCACTGATTAGTCATTCTACTTGGTGCAAAGTTGCCCTGTGCGTCTGGACGAGTTCAGTGCAGGAGGAAACTGTGGACATCGACGCGGCCAGGCCCGTGCTACGACTTGGGGCGTTGGATGCTTCAGCCGCCGCTTGCTGTGGAATTGTGGGCGGGGCTGACCCTGGGGATGTGCCAAAAGATATTGAAATTAACGCTAAAGCCTCAGAAACTGGGGCGATGTCAGGGTTGCAATTTCTGAACGGGAGTTGGAAAAGTCTCTGTGGCTGAACACTCAACAAGGCCGACGTAGTCCTGTACAGTTGGGTGAAAGTGGATGGCACGCCTCCCTCTTTTTGGTTTAGCCATCTTCCTTGGACAATGATGCAATCTACTTTCGCCCTGGTGTACTCCATGAAATTACTGTGCACCGTGCGTTTTCCAAGGATGTGGCCAAACAAGCGATCGAAGACTTGGAGCTGGGCGTAGACGAGGCTCCTGAAAGGGAGAAGGTCGCATGTAGCAGGTTGACTTCCAATCAGTTGGACATGGACATAGGCAAATGCGCTTTCTTCTGGTTACCCTGAAGTGCCCTTTGTGCATCTTCAGCCTGTAAAGAAAAAGAAAGCACCCCTTGCCGTTCAGGAGATAAAACAACGCACTATTTGGAGAAGTACTGGTTGTGACACAGTCCCCGATTGTGGACTGCCTTGAGGTGCTGATGATGGAGCTCATCGATTTTGCGACCAACAAGGGCAGCGTGAGAGCGGTACAGGAGTTGATTGCGAAGGCACTGGCAGAGGCGGGCCGAAGGGATGCCGCCTTGCTGATCAGGCGAGTTGTTCGGGGCACAGGGAAGGAGAGTGCCGCAATTACACCTTCGGAAATTATCACCCAGGCAAGGAGGGAGATTCGTTTTGGGGCTGCGATTCACAATCTGCTGGAAGGGGAAACATGCAACGGACACGCCGTTTTTCTCCTCCAACCGGATCAAAACGGGGCGACCTTTCCCCCGCATCACTGGCCTCACGGAAATGCCTGCAGGTTCTCACGGAGCTGGACGACCCGCAGCACACGCAGACCGCGCTGGACTTGTTGACCCAGCAGTTTCGGGAAGGGCCGGAATCCAGGCAGGCGGGGGGTTGGCAACGGATGGAGGCTGTCAAGCTTCGCTGGCACCTGGCCGCTGCAGGGTTCAGAGTCGGAAGCACTAATTGCAATGAACTTGCTTCTGTCAAAGCTGCCTGCTGAGCATCAACAAGCCTGCTAGTCAAAGCAGGACCTTGACTGGGACATCTTTTGAATTGTTTCTGAAAATCCCATTGCCTCAGCTGAAACAAACTTGTTTGTCGAAGGAAACTGCGCTGGCAAGCTCGCCCATGCACGGGGCCGTGGCTGAAGGAAAGCCTATTGCCAAACAGATTTCTTGCCAGGTGAAGCAGATTCCAATTTTGTACCCTCCACCCAGGGAATTGGAGGCAGGAAGTGCCCGATAGATGAATAGTTAGTATTCAATGTCCCCTTTGTGGGGAAGATTGGGTACATGGAATTGGGGTAACTTGTTTTGAGGATATTTGGTTTTACCGATTCTTAGGCTGGCGTCCGCTTCAGCTAAGAAATTGGCTATTAACTATTAAATTTATGACATGAATCCCCCTAAAGGGTCCCTAGTTACACCCACATGAGCCCCCGCCTTCCACCGTGCAATCTGCAGGCTAACCGTGGCGCGCTGCTTGGAGAGGATCTATGCCACAAATCTGCAAGGTGAAGAGCAGGTGGGCTCGGCAGGGAAAAAGAGGTCGCTATTTGAATGACTGGAGCCGTTGGACCGGGTTAAGAGGGTTCCTTTGTGGTTTGCTTGGGAAAAGGGAGTGGGAGCGAGTGAGAGCGAGAGAGATATTAAATATAATTCCCTCTGGCCAAATTGTGGAAACAGGCCTCAGGACTGCTCAGCCTGTTGGCCTGCAGATGTTTCTCCATGAAACGGGGATTACTGGAACTACCAGTTTCCGACATGTTGGGCTTGCTAGTCGTGGAGGCGTGGAGCTTTTGCCAAGCAAATATCCGCCTGATGCTTTCTGACATAAAATAGCCTGTGCGCTGCTATTTGCGTGCCTCAGCATTTGCGAGCGCCAGTGGTTCCCTGTGTGCCATGCATGTTTGGTGCTGAGCACCCCTGCACATGCCTTCGCTTTAAGCAGGGAAATGATGAGCTTCGTTTCTCCAATCGGCAAGCACCGAACTTGGGTGCACCCTTGATCTCAGGAACAGAATGGCAAAAAATATTCGGGATGCAACAAGAACTACATGCTCCGGACCATACTTGTTTTCCGCATGTTTAACGCAAAATGCCGCCCACGCCCTGTCAGGTTGCACAGGCCTTCAAATTCCTGCTGCGCCAGGGTTTGGGCCTGACGAATGGCGCCACACCCGAGGTGGGCCTGAGTGGCGTGCGGTTAACCCAGCAAGCGCTTTGTTGTACGGATGCGTTATCAGCGGTGCCTCGCACCGTATGCTCCGTTTTGCGGGAGGCCAGCGAACTGCGCGACGTTCTACTTGCAGCAGGCACGTGGCACATTGCAGCACGCTGGCAGCAAGCCTGCGGTCAAGCACCTTACTCGAGATTTTGTTTGCAGGCATCGCGTTGATCGAGAAGCACGGGGAGGATTTCGCCAATGACCTTTTCAACATTGTGGAGGGCTTTGAGGATAGCGCGGCAAGCAGCGCAGCAGGCATGCACCAATTGGTTTGAAGAGGGTTGGGCAAAGTTAGATTCAACAAGCAAAATTAGTGTCCAGATCGACTTTACTTGAGACCTTCGTATTTTCCATTTGGCGAAGGCTGGTGCCCTGCCACAAACAGCTCATTTCAAGGTCTTTCCTCGGCAAGGGGGCAAGTCATGGCTTGTTTCAAAACCTGAAGGAGTATGTTTCCGCACTGATAACCCAAGGCAGCCCAAGCCGAGTGAAGACTTGACCGCTGGATGCAGGGGGTCATTCCTCCAGGTGAGTCTGCGCACCTGGGCATCGCGGTCTATTTGGGTGCGCTCTCCAAGCATTTGGGCGCGGACCACGCTAAGGCTTGGGATGCACTTCGGTTCACACGGCCAAGGCCCATAGGTTTGTACGTGGGCTTTCCCAAATGCACGTATTGCACACGGCGGCTGTGTTGTGGGCACAATGGAAGGACGCACTTGGGCAATGTTAATTGCAAGATGGTGCAACCAGATTCCCTGGTACGTGCAGGTCCCGGAAATCTTGCCTCGACTGCTGCAGAGGCGACGGGGGGAACAGATAGAGCTCGCGAGCACACGGGGCAATGCAGGCTGCAGGACAAGACCTCTTCGACTTCTGTGCAGAATGCCATCGTGAAGGCTCCGTGTATTCCGTTTTCCCCAAAGTCGCAGCAAACCGCAAAGCATGTCAGTAATTATATTAAGAGTCCCAGATCCATGGGGCTTAGACCTTACCTCAATTTATCTCAAATTATCTCAAATTATCTCAAATTATCTTATTTTTGCATCTAATGTGCAAAAAGATGCAAAAAAATACAAAAAGATGCAAAAAAATGCAAAAAGATGCAAAAAAGTGCAAACACATGCAAAACAGTGCAAAAACATGCAAACAAGTGCAAAAAATGCAAAAACAAATGCAAAACAAGTGCAAAAAAAACACAATGCAACAAAATGCCAAACAACTGCAACACAATGCAAAAAAATGCAACAAAATACAAAAAATGCAAAAAGAGTGCAAAAACAATGCAAACATACATGACACAAATGCAAACAAGGACAAACACATGCAAGAACATACAACATGCATTAAGTGTGTGTCACTCAATTCTATAATAATGATTATTTTTATTGTCGCATCAGTGAGTCGCAAGTCATCATGAGCGCACGTTAGCGCCAGCAACGTTGGACCATTCCATTGAATCATCATTATTCATTCTTGACGTCGCTGGCGAGCCAGCTCAAAAAAATACTCTGCCATGCGTCAAGTCAAGCGCTTTCAATAACTTGTGGCAAGGACAGCTGCACGGATCAAGGTCATCATCTTCACAGATCGTTGGACTGGGGTATTCTTGCACATAAGTCGAATCAAAGTTCGAGCAATGGGAGCAATGCATTGTCTTGCGATTGTCGTTGATGATCATGAGCACTGCGCCACGCATGCCAGTAACAAAGGTCACAGGTTCCCGATTGACGTTCAGCTGACTCGGCAACTGAACAAACGCTTCATGTCCAACCCACATAATAGTCACACCAGGACGACAACACATGCCGCGCCGGTCACCGGTCCTGAAATCTGTCAGAATAGATTCTGCAAGAAATTCTGGGCAAGGTTCACGTTCCAGTTCCGAGTCCAGCTCCGATAAATCTGACTGCTCGACGTCGTCATTGTCATTCCCCTGCTGAAGCTCCGGCTCAGTCATTTCAACTCCCCAGTCCCGTGGCTGAGCGTCAGTCCAGTCAGGCTGAGGAAGTTCGATTTGACACACTGTCGCACTGGCTTCAACTTCTGATTCTGAAGATTCAGTGTGACACACTGTCTGACTTGCAGGAGAATCTGTCACTGTCCGACGCTTCTTATCAGCAGGCAAGCCAGTTGACATGAGGCTTCAATGTCAATGGTTCACAAAATCTCAATCAAGCACGTTGAGTCAACTGCTACTGACAGGCTTGAGCCGCAAAACCGCATCTCAAGCATGACTGGAATGTTTGCAGCCTGAACATGGGTCATGGTTCATGTCATTCATGATGGCATGTGCGCGCACGGCTGTTGCCATAAACTCAAATGAAGTCAGGATATTTATAGAGCGACAACTTGTTTCTTCCTCTTGTTCCATTGACTGCTGGGCCTCAAGTGAGCTTCCGCACTCACGCATCTAAACTCACTTGCGCAGCCCTGTTGCTGTTTTCCAAAGTCGCACACAGTCGAGTCAAGCAGTTTGCCCATCAGTTAAAAGTTGCAGCTCCGCTCTGTACTGGAGCAACACACTGCTTGTCTATTATTGGCTGAAGATCAATCCAGCACGAGGCCATGACGCATTGAATATGCACGAGCAAGCTTGTGACAGGCACATGAACACTGAGGGCCACAATGGTGCGCTAAGCCGCACGCAGAGCACCAAAGAACACGATCTCGCGCAGCCAAAGTAATAGTTCCAGCCCTGGCAGTAAAAAACCACACCTTTTTATGCATCGATGTGCTGTAGCTCACGGGCATCCGAACAAACCAGTCACCTTCGATGAACTTGAACTTGCGATCGGCAGTTGGTAAGGGCATCTGCATCTGGTCAGCAAGCACTTCTTGAAGCACCACTGGGCGCAGATCTCCCGTGTCTGCAGTCGAAGAGCGTGGTCGTTTTTTTGTGGGAATCACATCTTGGGGTCCACTCAAGGTGCCGTCCTGGCATGTGGCCTCCTGGTGTTCGTCATCATCAATGGCAGTGTCATTGGCCATGTTGTTTGTGCACGGCGACGCAGACTCAATAATTATAGTTTCAAAACTACCAGCATCCTCACATTTCCATAGCGTCTGCCTTAGATAGTGTGCGCCCGAACCCCGCACCATCACTTTGCCTAAATTGATGACAGCAACACCTAATGCATACAATCATTATTAAGCCCAGCAGCGACATTGCGAGTTTAGCAAAAGTGGGAAGCACTTGAATCTGCGCTTTCAACTGACAGCACTTGAACCGAACCGCCACAACTTGTTTTGCCACAAGCAATTCCCGTACACAAGTGCAAGCAGGCCAATGACATGATGAGATACTTTGCACTCAGCACACCAGAGGTTCTCGCTATTTTATCAAGTCGTGCGCAACTCGCAAACGAGCAAAGAATTATGCCTTCTGTCTACAGCCACATGTTTTGGAAGACTGGATCCAGTCCTTAACCTGTAGCTCAGTCATTATAGTGCTTGTCCTCCTCAATTGGCCTTTTGATGGCCACTCGCCTGGCAGAGCGCCACCACAGCACAGAACTAAGACTTCAAGACTATTATTACGCGCACACACACACAAACAATGGTCATTATGATTTGCCCGCCTTTCTCCCAGTCGTAGCACCTCATGATCCAGGTTGGCTTGTCTCGGCCCCCTGGCGCTGGATGAAACTTGTAATGCCCACATTGCTTGCGGCAGGTATTGCAGGAAACCTCAGTCCAGATAAGCGGATCAAACACAGCAGGTTGCCGGGGTCCATGGTGGCCAGGCGACTTGATTGTGCACCGGCACCATCAGCCATAGCCAAATCATCGGCACTGCTGGAAGCAGCAATGACACTTGCCCCAGAACTTGGCAATGGCTCATCACTGTGCCTTGTCGATTTGCTTGGAGATTGGGTGTGGCTGGCAGGTGGCAGGTCCGCCTGCGGACTCAGCCTGTTGCCGTCGTCCGCCACACTGGCTGGCTTGTCTTCTGGAGGAGCCGTGCTGTTGTCCTCCGCCACACTGGCTGGCCGCTCTTCTGGAGCAGCCTCGGCCTGCGCAGCAGGCCTCGCAGATTCAGGGCACGACGACACTGAGTGAGTTCTACGAACCACCCGCCGCTGCCATGGATTCGGAGTCACAGCTTCAACTTCTTCAGGGACTTCAACCAGCACGTTTCCCTTTTCATGGGTGTCACCTTCGCGAAGAGCAGGGCAGTCTTGTCTTTTCTTCTTCAGTGCGCCATGCCAAATCTTCCTGCTCGCCTTGCTGGCCACTTTGGAGCTGCTTGATTTGGCAGTCTTCAGCCCCTTTATTATGTTGGCTTTGTTGCTTGCCTTGGCCTTGGCCTTTGTCTTGGCCTTGGACTTGGCCTTTGTCTTGGCCTTTGCCTTGGCCTTTGCCTTGGCCTTTGGCATCATGGCCTTTCTGACTACTGCCCATTCCTTCTGCTTCGCACGAGCCTGATGTTTCTCAATTGTTTTTTGAACTTGCTCAAACTCACGACGATCTTCTGGGTCCATGTCCTCCAACACCATTGCATCAAACTCAAGATCATCCTGATCAGCCTTGCAGGCACTCTCATCAGAATCACTGTCGTTGCCAGCGGGGGCATTGTTGTGCAGAGCTTGGACCTGAGCCGCGAAGTTGGCCGTGATGTCATCAGTATCGCCATCCCGCTGTGACGTTTCCGCAGCAAGAACTTTCAATAGCTCAGGTCTGCTCATCGCTTGAAAAACTGGCACAGCAGTCTTGCTGCAAGCACGCAGGTCGATGCCCTTCAAGTAGCACACCAGGGCCGCCAGCTCTTTGTTCAGCATCTTCTTTGTCAGCCTGAGCAGGTGACAGCACAACTGACAACAAGACAACATCAAGCATGCTGCCTGACATGAGTGTCACAGCGCGACTTCATTCAGATCCAAGCAGCGTTGGCTGTGTAAGAAAAGTTCTCAGCAAGCTGCGCTCCACACCGGACGATTGCCTGGCCAATCGGAGACCACCTTGCCACTCAATGCAAACAGGCTGCGTCTCCACCACCATCCACATCTCTGGCTGCTCGATGAACATGAAGTCTGCCTGCCCTTCAGCATCCAGCACAAAGCACGCATCTCCAAGGGCACCACAGTGGTTCGCTTCAGGAGTGTCCACCACAATCACGGGCCACCCTATACAAGCCCATGTGGCAGAGCTCAAGCAAAAGCAGAATGACTCATCTGACAAATTCTTCATGACCTCCTGCCGTGGCGCCAGTTTGTTGAACACCCCTTGCCAGATTTTGATGCCTGCCGAAGATCTGTCACAATTGCCCTTCCAATGCTGAAGCCAAGACCATGCCGCAGCTCCTTCTTGAAGGCTTTCTTCCGACAGTGTGCCCCAGGTTTTCCTTGCCATAAGTTGATGCCATTCCCGAGGCATTTTGTGAGTCTTTGATTTGAACCCACATTTTCTCCGACTTGTATGTCCCTGTCTAAAGTCACCCACAAATTCGTCTCTGGAGATCTTCACATGCGGAATTCCACGGCTTTCAAAGACCTGCGAGCTGCGAGTAACATCTTGGATGGACTCATTTGTTTGCTTCTTGTTGCTTTGAAATTTGCCATCCCTCCAAATATCGTTGTGCACATCTTCAACAATTTTGTTGTCAGGGAATGTGCAAAGCAAGCAGTTCAGCAAGTGAAGTCCTGCCACACTGGCTGTCTTGTAACCACCTGCTTCGAACGCCTCCATCATGATCCTGCATGGGTTTGAAACGATTAGATGTACACTTGCGGACAGCTTGTCGCAAATTCCCTGCACCAGGCCAAAGGAAGACCGACTAGCAAACACAGTTTCAAGCCACAGCAAAACCTGATGTTCCTTCTTCAGCAAACGAACTGCTTCCTGCTGCACTTGCTCGTTGTCAGCAGCCAGGATTCCTGCATATGATTCTGGGGGACAG